CATTTTTTTGGGGGGGGTTCCATTCATGGGGCCTGAACTCTGGGCCTGGGCGCTGCCCCTCAGCTCTTCAGCTCAAGGCTAGCGCTCTACCACTTGAGCCATAGCCCACTTCCAGCTTTTGTCTTTTTGCTTATGTGGTGCTGGGGAATCGAACCCAGGGCCTCAGGCATGCAAGGCAAGCGCTCTACCACTGAGCTACCTTCCCAGGCCTGTACAGTCATTTTTAATGTAACTAATTTTTACATTTTACATTTTTATGTAACTAGAAGGTTGCCTGTAAAAATAACTATTTTCCTTTAGGAAAAGTGATCAAATCTAGAATTTTAATTTTTTTTTTTTTTTTTGGTTGGTCAGGGGCTTGAACTCTTGGCCTAGGCGCTGTGTTCCTGAGCTCTTCAGCTCAAGGCAAGTGCTCTACCACTTGAGCCACAGCGCCACTTCTGGTTTTCTGGTGGTTAATTGAAGATAAGAGTCTCTTGGTGTTTCCTGCCCGGGGCGGCTTTGAACTGCAATCCTCAAATCTCAGCCTCCTGAGTAGCTAGGATTACAGACATAAGCCACTGGTGCCCAGCTGAAATTTCTAATTTTTATATCTTTTATTTTATTAGTACTCCTGGTAAAAGCCAGATGGATCTGCGCAAACTGCTTAGAAAAGTTGACGTAGAAAGGTAATACAGTTTCTTACCTTTATGCATTTTAAATCTATTTGAAAAGTGAGCATGAAACACAGCTTCTATTCTTTTCAATACCTTATCAGGAGCCCAGGAGGAACCCCTCTTACTAATAAAGAAAATATGGAAACTGGAACTGGACTGACCCCAGTAATGACCCGGGCCTTAAGGAAAAAGTTTCAGGTAAGACTTTAGTTGGGGCAGGTATGGTAGTACACACCTTAAATGTTTGAGGTCAGCATGGTGCAAAAAGAAGGAAGGAACGAACGAACGAATGAACGAAGGGAGGGAGGGAGGGTAGGAGGGAGGAAAAGGATGAAAGAAGAAGGGAGAGAGGGAGAGAAGGAAGGAAGGAAGGGAGAGAGGGAGGCAGGCAGGCAGGCATCTTCTGTCTTTCCTGCTGGAGTACTGGGAACTAGGGTTCTGGCTTCTGTGGCTTTGAATATGATAGCTCCTTCTCTTCTTAGAACAGAAACACAGCAACTCCACAAATAACATTGCCAAGTTTCCTACCACAACAGGGTCTTCCCTTTATTCCATGCTTAAAAAAACAATGCCTTTAGGCTGGGAATGTGGCTTAGTGGTAGAGTGCTTGCCTAGCATGTGTGAAGCCCTGGGTTCAATTCCTCAGTACCACATAAACAGAAAAGCCAGAAGTGGCACTGTGGCTCAAGTGGTAGAGTGCTAGCCTTGATCAAAAGAAAGCTCAGGGACAGTGCCCAGACCCTGAATCAAGTCCCAGGACTGGCGCGCGCACACACACACACATACACACACACAAGAAAGAAAGAAAGAGAGAGAGAGAAGAAAGAAAGAAAGGAAAGATTAAAAAAAAAAGAAAGAAAGAAAAGAATGCCTTCAATTTCTCTCTTACCAATCAATCACCTTGGTCCTTCTGGAAAGTCTATGGCCTTCTTTAAAGGTTCCTTCCTCCTCTTGGAATATCAATAACAGTCAAACTATCCCTACTATCACATCTCTTAGTGAAAGGTTTTCAAAAAAACTGTAAAAGGCAAAGGAAAGAGGCTTCTCTGAAAGAATTTGGCCCTTTCCTTCATAATTAGGGCCCTACTTCATAATTAATACAAAGTGCTGGGAATGATGGAAACAACCAAAATTATGCTAAATCCATATATTGAACAGTAACAACAAAAATCACAAATAAGACCTCTGCCATACATTCTCTACCAAAAACCCACTTGAGAGGAGGATATATAAATAAATGTTTTTATTAAGCCTTAGACTTTAACTCTGAAGCACCTGCACCAGTTAGGCTTTGTTTCTGGACTTAACCACAATGACTTAATCAAATAGAGATTTAGTTTTCTTTTCACTTTTTTTGTTTTTGGTTGGTCGTGGGGCTTGAACTCTGGGCCTGGGGGCTGTCCCTCAGCTCTTCAGCTTAAGGCAAGCCTTCTACCACTTGACCCACAATACCACTTCTGGTTTTCTGAGTTGGTTTATTGAAGATAAGAGTCTTGTGGACTTTCCTGCCTGGGCTGGCTTTGAACCATGATCCTTAGATCTCAGCCTTCTAAGTAGCTAGGATTACAGGTGTAAGTCATTGGTGCCAGGCTTCTTTTCACGTTTTTAATGCCAGTCTTGGGGCTGTCCCTAAGCTTTTTTGCTCAAGGCTGGTGCTCTACCACTTCAGCCACAGCTCTACTTTCTGCTTTTTGATGGTGCTTAATTGGAGGTAAGAGTCTCTTGGATTTGTCTGCCCAGACTAGCTTTGAACCTTGATCCTCAGATATCAGCCCCCTAAGTTGCAAAGGTAACTGGTGTGAGCTACTAGTACCTGGCTGGTACTAATTTGTTTTTCTTACCTGAATATTCTTTTGGAAAGGAGAAGTCCACAAGTTGTACAGCAATGTCATTATATCATTCTTGTGCTTCCATCCTTAGTGTGAGTTTTAGCCTCATGGTCTAGAATGGCTGTACCTCCTGAAGCCATATGTCCACATCCTAGGAAAAAAGAACAAGAATGACCAAGGGCAAAAACAACTAAGCTAATTAAATTAATTAAGCTACCTCTGATATGCTTCCTGTTTAAAGAGGTCTCATGTAGGGCTGTGAAGGTGGCTCAGTGGTAGAGCGCTTGCCTTGCATGTATGAGGCCCTGAGTTCAATTCCCCAGTACCACATGAGCAAAAAGAAAAAAAGGCAGAAGTGGCGCTGTGGCTCAAGTGGTAGAGCGCTAGCCTTGAGCTGAAGAGCTGAGGGACAGCTCCCGGGCTCAGAGTTCAGGCCCCACGACTGGACACACCCCCCCCCCCCCCAAAAAAAAAAAAAAAAAGGTCTCATCTAGAAACTTGTGGTTCTATCAGGAAAAATGAGAAAGATGGTTTTAGAATCTAAATGATACAGCCAGGCTCCAATGGCTCATGTCTGTAATTGTAGCTACTTCAGAGGGTGAGATCTGAGGATCCCAGTTTGAAACCAGCCCAGGCAGACAAATTAGAGTAAACTAACACTTTTCTCCACTTAACCAGCACAAAGCCAGAAGTGGAGGTATGGCTCAAGTGTACTGGCACCAAAAACAAAACAAGACAAAAGAAACAAAAATAGCAAAATTTCCTCTGTGTGTGTGTGTGTGTGTGTGTGTATGTTTGTGTGTGTGTGTGTGTGTGTGTGTGTTTGTGTGTGTGTGTGTGTGTGTGTGTGTGTGTGTGTGTGTGTGTGTGTGTGTGTTAGTCTTGAAGCTTGAACTCTGAGCCTAGGTGCTGCCCATGAGCTTCTTTTGCTCACAGCTAGCACTCTACCACTTGAGCCAAAGCTCCACTTTTTTTGGTAGTTCATTGGAGATAAGGGTCTTATGGGCTTTCTTGCCCAGGATGTCTTTGAACCTCAACCCTTACATCTTAGTCTTCTGAGTAGATAGGATTACAAGCATGAGCCACTGGTGAGGGGTCTCTTAATAAGGAAGAATCATGTTAGTTTCACATATTATTGGCTAATATGTATTGGCTAATTAATATTATTGTGAATTAATTGTGACTTTTTTTTAATAGCTGGCTCACCCTAGAAGTCCAACACAGACTCAACCACTTCCGACAAGCAGCTTTGATGAGCAAAACTGAGGCGGGCCTGTCTGGTTCAATGTAGTAATCCACAAAATACACAATTAAAATCACCCAGATCCTTCTTTTTTTTTTTTTTTTTCCGGTTGGCCATGGGAATTGAACTCTGGGCCTGGGCACTGTCCCTAAGTGCTTCAGCTCAAGGAGAGTACTCTACCTTGAGCCACAGCATCACTTCCAGTTTTCTGGTGGTTAATTGGAGATAAGAGTCTCACAGACTTTCCTGCCTGGGCTGGCTTTGAACCATGATTCTCAGATCTTAGCCTTCTGAGAAGCTAGGATTATAAGCACAAGCCACCGGTGCCCAGCTTCCTTAGTTTTTGTGTGTGCTAGTCCTGGGGCTTGAACTCAAGGCCTGACAGCTGTCCCTAACCATTTTTTTTGTTCAAGGTAGTGTTCTACCACTTGTGCCTTAACTGTACTTTTGACTTTTTGGTGGTTCATTGGGGATAAGAATCACATGGAGGAGCTGGGAAGGTAGCTCAGTGGTAGAGTGCTTGCCTTGCATGCATGAGGTCCTGGGTTTGATTCTTCAGCACCACATAAGCAGAAAAAAACAGAAGTGGCGCTGTGGCACAAGTGGTAGAGTGCTAGCTTTGAGCTGAAGAGCTGAGGGACAATGCCCATGCCCAGATTCAGGCCCCACAACAAAGAAGAAGAATCGCATGGACTTTCTTTACTAGGCCTGCTTTGAATCGCGATCTTCAAATCTCAGCCTACTGAGTAGCTAGGATTACAAATGTGAGCCATCTGGCTCCAAATCCATATGTATAACTATACTAATATGATTCTGTTTGGAAACTCAGGATATATGGAGCCTATGCATACTGTGGTATAAAGTAAGCATTTGGATGTTTTCTAGTTTTCATGATGTAGTAGACCCAGATGGGAAAAATACAATCTATGAAATGATGTTTGCTCTGGAATTACCCAAGTAAGATAACTGGCTATTCGAATTTAATTAGAATATTCTAGTTTGTGCTACTATAGGCATTAAGAAAGTAGTAGTTTGGTTCCTATTCATGCTGATTTTCTCAGGTAGATGAAAAATTTCTTTGTTTGTAAAACTTATGTAGTCATTGCTATAAACTCGATGCTTTAGAAAGACACTCTGGGCATGGTGACCCACACCTATAATCCCACATAGGAAGGTAAGAGGATGATATGTCCAAGGTCAATTGAGGTTACATCTGGACCTTATCTCACAAAAAATAAGCACAGTTTTAAAAATTACTGGGATTTGGGGAGCCGGTGCGGCTGTTAGGCCCGCGTCTCGCCGCCGCCGCCGGCCGGGCATGGTGTTGGGCGCCGGCCCGCCTCGCCTGTCTCGGGGTGCTGAGAGTAAAGGTGGTAGTAATGCTAACGCTGGCAAGCAAACTGAAGCGAGATGACGGTCTCAAAGGGCCCCGGACAGCTGCTGCTGCGTCTGACTCCACGCGGAGAGTTTCCGTGAGAGACAAGTTGCTTGTTAAAGAAGTTGCAGAACTTGAAGCTAATTTACCTTGTACCTGCAGAGTGCACTTTCCTGATCCAAACAAGCTCCACTGCTTTCAGCTCACCGTCACCCCAGATGAGGGTTACTACCAGGGTGGAAAATTTCAGTTTGAAACTGAAGTTCCTGATGCATACAACATGGTGCCTCCCAAAGTGAAATGTCTGACCAAGATCTGGCACCCTAACATCACAGAGACAGGGGAGATATGTCTGAGTTTGCTGAGAGAGCATTCTATCGATGGCACCGGCTGGGCTCCCACCAGAACGCTCAAGGATGTTGTTTGGGGATTAAACTCTTTATTTACTGATCTTCTGAACTTTGATGACCCACTGACCATCGAAGCTGCAGAGCACCACCTGCGAGACAAGGAGGACTTCCGGAGTAAAGTGGACGACTACATCAAGCGTTACGCCAGATGATAGGAGGAGAGGATTGCAGGCCCGTGGACTGTGTCACAGCTCGTGTCTAATGTGGAACAGCACGAGGTAGCCCTGCTCCCGTCCTCACGCTCCCTCTGCCCACGGGATCGCCCCAGGCCTGTGACCATGTTGTCCCGAAGAAGACCGTCCTCCTGACGCCAGCTGTAGATGGCGGATGAACACAAATACGGCAAGAAAGCCTTTGGGCCTCTAGAGAGTTGTCTGCTTCCCTTACCATGTTTACTCCTGAAGCTGTGCTGTCTAGGCTGCCGCGAGACTTCTCAGAAGTTGTCCTGAGCTCAACCCTGAGGCTAGCGCTTGCTTCCCCTCCCCAACCGAACCGGTCCCCCTGCACAAGTGATGTAATGATGTGTTCAGTGTAACTCGCAGATTGGCAATAAGAAACCCTCTGCAAACTGAGATTGGATGCACATTCTCTTAGCTTCCTCCACGAAGGTTGGCCCTGCCTAGATGTGAAGCTTCCCAGAATGCATTGCCATTCACTGTAGATCTTACTGAAATGCGTATTTTATTTAATAGCAGACACAAAGATGTCGGGTCAAGCAACTCTTGAAGAGAAATACAAAGAAACTGAAAGACACATTAGTCATTCTCTCCGAGCGCAGAAGGCAGCCCCTAAACAGCTGCTGCTCTCGTGTCCAGATGTGGCGAGGATGTTTTGGAGCCCTTGGAAGCTAGATCTGGATGATAAAAATAAAAGGCAGGGCTTGGGCTCAGGCCAGCCGGGGTTGGGGGTCCTGCGGTGGGCATGAAGCGTGGGCCTGTGGCTGCCCATCAGAGCCCTGCCCTGCAAGAGACAGGAGGCGCCTTGGGAGACCACCCCGTGTCTGATGCCACGGGACTGGGCTGTGGCCATCCCGAGTTGGCTGGGTGCCAGGCCCTGGGGGCAAGCCCCTCCCCACCCCCCAGCCATGGAGGGCCAGGCGCCAGGCCCAGCGTGTGCCATGCGTGGTCAGGTTGATACGCTTCAGAGGAAGAGCCTTGAAGAGAGGAAGTGGATTGTTCTGGCATTTAGACATTTGAGCCAGTGAAATCAAATGCAAAATAAATGTCTGTCTGGTTTAAAAAAAAAAAAAAAAAATTACTGGGATTTGAACAAAACCCTTGCCGATACCACATCTACTACTCTAGCCTTAGCCTCAGCACTAGTCTGAACTCAGGGCCTCATGCCCTAGCTAGCTTTTGCTCTTTCTCCTTCCCTCTCCCCCCCCCCCTTTTTCTCTCTTTCCTTTATTTTTTATTTTATTTTTATTATCATCACAAAGGTGATGTACAGAGGGTTGTTTCTGTTTGTTTGTTTTTTTTGTCGGTTGTGGGGCTTGAACTCTGGGCCTGGGCACTGTCCCTCAGCTCTTCAGCTCAAGGCTAGCACTCTACCTCTTGAGCCACAGTGCCACTTCCAATTTTCTGAGTGTTTTATTGGAGATAAGAGTCTCACAGACTTTCCTGTCCGGGCTTGCTTTGAACCTCAGTCCTCAGATCTCAGCCTCCTGAGTAGCTAGGATTACAGACGTGAGCCACCAGTGTCCAGCTAGAGGGGTTGTTTTTGTGCGTGTGTGCCCATACTGGGACTTGAACTTGGTGCCTTGAGCTCTTGCTTGGCTTTTTTGCTCAAGGATGGTGCTCTACCAGATGAATCATACCTCTTTTTACTTGTTAGTAAGAGATAAGAATAGCTGGGATTTATCTACCTTGGCTGGCTTTGAACCAAAATCTTCAACTCTCAGCCTAGCTCTGCCTAGCTGGGCTTTCCTGCTCATGTTTGGCAATCCACCACTACAGCTACAACTCTAGTACCTTTTTTTTTTTTTGGGGGGGGGGGGGGTCCAGTCATGGGACTGAACTCTGGGCCTGGGCGCTGTCCCTCAGCTCTTCAGCTCAAGGCTAGCGCTCTACCACTTGAGCCACAACGCCACTTCCGGCTTTTTTCTTTTTGCTTATGTGGTGCTGAGGAATCGAACCCAGGACCACAGGCATGCAAGGCAAGCGCTCTACCACTGAGCCACCTTCCCAGCCCCTAGAGCTACAACTCTAGCTGAACATTTTTTCTGGTTAATTGGAGACTGAGCTCATATACTTTTCTGCTTTGGATGCCTTATCATTTTTCAGATCTCAGTCTCCTGAGTAATTGGGATTACAGGTATGGGCCACTAGCACCTGATCACCATCCACCATTTAAATGCAACTATTTTCCAAAACGATTGGAAACAAAGGACCAGTGTGACCTTATTAGTTAGAAGTATCACTTCTGGCACCTTAGACAGGTAATTCTGTCTTGGTTACTGAAATCTGAGATGCTTATTCCATTTTGTTTGTTTGTTTGTTGCTGAGGATTGAACTCAGGACTTCATACCTCTCCCACTTCATACGTACTCTCCTACTGAGCTACATTTCCCAGCTCTTGTATTCCTTACTCTCATATCATCTGTCCACCTGCACACAGCTAAATAAAACTTGCACGAAGACTTCCACACAAACCTTCTGTTTTCCACAGTGGCCTGCCGAGAATTCCCTGAGGTCTGTGGCAGAATGATGAGACTCAGTGCCCTGTCCTCACCTGTCAGTAGATTCAATAGCAGTAATAATGTTCATTTCACCCAATTTTGTTTTTTCGTGCCAGTCTAGAGATGTCGGATTAGCAAATAAAGAAAGCAAGAGACCCAACTAAACTGAAATTTCAGATAAACAACAAATAACTTCTAAGTGTAAATATGTCTGATTAAACAACATTTTTTTTAACTCAAGCCTCATACATAGTAAGCACACACTTACCTACTTAGCTACTATTCTAAACCCCATAATATTGACTGGAACTAATGCTATAGCTCAGTGATAAAGCATTTGCCTATCATGTACAGATCCCCGAAGGTTTAGTCCCCCCAAAACAAAAGGTAAAAATTTAAATGTATTAGTTTCTGGGCACCAGTGGCTGATGCCTGTAATCCTAACTACTCAGGAGGCTGACATCTGAGGATTGAGGTTTGAAGCCAGCCTGGGCAGAAAAGTTCCTGTGAGACTCTTACCTCCAATTAATCACTCAAAAACCAGAAGTGGCACTGCAGTTCAAGTGGTAGAGTGCCAGCCTTGAGCACAGACAGGCTCAAGGACAGTGCCCAGGCTCTGAGTTCAAACCCCATAACCGACAAAAAAAATAAATATTAGCTGAAATTCATATTTAACTAAGTAGCTTTTATTTTACTTAGCAACCTTATACACAATCCCCTGGAAATTGCTAAGTATTTCTGGAAGCCCTCAGTTTGCTAGAGGTATCTGTTTAGCACTGACTACTACTGTAGCTTCAGAGAAGAAGAAAAATTCCAATTATAGTGAATAATTGAAGATACAGAACTAGCTTTGCTGATGGGGCTATCACCTAAGACCTTGAACATGCTAGGCAAATGCTCTAACACTGAGCACCATCAATCATTAGATTAGCTTTGAAGTTAATGTCCTCTGCAGTTCTGAGAATAAAAATAGCAGCTCCTTATCCATGATGAGCCAGGAGGATTTTTAGAACATCATTGAACTTTCTAGTTTGACAGGAAGTAGCTACATAAATGATATCCTTGATATATCATTCAGTTAGCTTAAGATAGAAAGATAACTTAGCACTTTCCTAGAGAAGCCTGCATTTTCATAGAAAAATATTGCTTTGGTATGCAAATAGGATTGTTGGAAAGTTATCAGACTGGCAAGTAGCAGACATGGAGACAACGTTTAGCATCTAAGTGGAAGTCAGTTTATGTTTACAACACATTTCTGGATGAAAATGAAACGGACATACCTGTATCTCATAAAAGTTTTTTTTTATACTACAACCTATTTTTGTATTATCTAAAAATAAAGGGAATGACCACTAACAAAAAAGTTGTGTCGGCTGGGAATGTGGCTTAGTTGTAGAGTACTTGCCTAGCATTCATAAAGCCCTGGGTTCGATTCCTCAGCACCACATACACAGAAAAAGCCAGAAGTGGTGCTGTGGTTCAAGTGGCACAGTGCTAGCCTTGAGCAAAAGAAGCTCAGGGACAGTGCCCAGGCCTTGAGTTCAAGCTGCAGGACTGGCAAAAAAAAAAAAAAAGTATAATAGAAGATTATTGGCACTTACAGTGTTTGTAATATTAATCATTGTATACTGTATTGTTGTGGTCTAAATGTTTTGATAATTCTTGTGTAATAAAGGTTCTGGTCAGGCCAGAGGCATTAGTCTGTAGTCCCAGCTACTTGGAAGACAGAATCAGGAGGATTATGAGTTATAGATCAATCCAAGAAAGTTAGTGAAACCTTGTCTCAAATAAAGCAATACTATAGAAGTCATTCACAAAGCTGCTATTGCTCTCATTGTATCAGTATTAAAATGCATCTTTAAAAAAAAACAAAATCAAATGCATCTTTAACTAATTTCATGACATTTTATATTGCAACTATTTGACTAACCTATAAATGGTATGGCTTTATTAAACTATTTATAAGTACTATGACTTATTAAACTATTGTTTACTTCTAATGTTTATTTTCTTTCTTTTTTTGGGGGGGGGGGGTGGGGTCAATTATAGGACTTGAACTCAGGGCCAGAGCCCTGTCCCTGACCTTTTTCGCTCAAGGCTAGCGCTCTGCCACTTGAGCCACTTCTTGTGTTCTAGTGGTTAATTGGAGGTAAGAGTCTCACAGATATTCCTGCCTTCGCTGGCTTTGAACTGCAATCCTCAGATCTCAGCCTCCTTAGTAGTTAGGATTACAGGCATAAACCACTGGTACCTGGCCTAATGTTTCTCTTGAGACTGAACAGCAAACAAAATGCAAACAAAATGCACCTTGTTATATTTTTAAATAAAAATTAATAACCTTTTGGTTTTTTCTTTATCAGAAATACAACACACATAAAAGTGTATGAAACATAAACATAAAGTATTACAAAGCAAAGATCCATCAAGAAATGGACATACATATCCTTAGGAGATATTCCTGCCTCATTCTTCCATAATCCCTTTTCTCACTAAGTAACCACTGAGCAACTTTTTTGTTTTTTGTTTTGTCAGTTGTGGGGCTTGAACTCTAGGCTTGGACGCTGTCCCTGAGCTCTTCAGCTCAAGACAAGCACTGTACCACTTGAGCCACAGCACTGTTTCCTGTTTTCTGGTGGTAAACTGGAATAAGAGTCTCACAGACTTTCCTGCCCAAGCTGGCTTTGAACCATGATCCTCAGATCTCAGCCTCCTGAGTAGCTAGGATTACAGACATGAGCCACTGGTGCCTAGCTACGCAACTTTTTATAATAAACACTTCCTAGCTTTTGCTCTGTAAGTATGTATCTCTAAGTGGTATGGTGCATTTTACTTTATTTGTTTGCTTATTTATTGTGTGTGTGTGTGTGTGTGCAGGCACACACACTCATACCCATACTGGAATTGAACTCAGGACCTAGAAGCTGTCCGTGAGCTTTTTTTTTTTTTTTGGTTGGTTGTGGGGCTTGAACTCTGGGCTTGCGCGCTATCCCTGCGCTCTTCAGCTCAAGGCAAGCGCTCTACCTGTTGAGCCACAGCACCACTTCCAGTTTTCTAGTGGTTTATTGGAGATAAGAGTCTCACAGACTTTCCTGCCTGGGCTGGCTTTAAACTGCTATCCTCAGATCTCAGCCACTTGAGTAGCTAGGATTACAGGTGTGAGCCACCGGTGCCCGGCTCCCTGAGCTATTTTTTGCTCAAGGCTAGTACTCTACCACTTGAGCCACAGCTCTCATTCTGACTTTTTGATGGCTAACTGGTCTTGGATTTGTCTACGTGGACTGGCTTCAAAACTCAGCCTCAGTCCTCAGATCTCAGCTTCCTCAGTAGCTAGAATTTCAGGTGTGAACTATTGGTGCCTAGTTTTGCATATTTTTGAATTCCATATAAATAGAATCAGATGGTAAATATTTTTTTGTTTCAATCAGTATTATTAAGATTCAGCCCTGTTATTTTATGGTTATTAAGATTTTACTTTTGTGGTGTGAAAAGTTAATTCACTTATTGTTAGACTAGCTTATGGCTTTTGGCTATTAGGAATTATGTATGCCATTATTAATATTCTTAAACATACATATATATGAGTTATTCTACTAGAGGAGAGGAGAGAGACAAACAGAGGTGGACAGATGGATAAAGAGATAGAGAAGAGGGAGAGGAAAAGGGGGGGTTGTAGAATTATTAGGTTATAAATTACTAGGTTATAAACCTATTTTTTTTGTTTGAACTGAGAACTGAATTCAGGATCTTGCACTTGTTAGGCAGGAACTCTGCCACTTAAGCCATGCCTCCAGCCCTTTTTTATTTCAGTTATTATTGAGGCAGGATCTTGCCTCAATAACTAGCACTGGCTAGTTTGACCTGTGATCCTATTTGTGCTTCTCCACAGGCACTGTCCCTGAGCTTCTTTTGTTCAAGACTAGCACTCTATCACTTGAGCCATAGCACTACTTCCAGCTTTTTCTGTTTTTGAGGTACTGAGAAATTGGGCTCAGGGCTTCATGCATGCTAGGCAAGCACTCTACCACAAGCCACATTCCCAGCTCCCTTATTTTATTTCTGAGGTGAAGTCTCAAAATGTTATCCAGGCTGCAACTTAAAATCATCCTGCCTCAGCACTCCATTGAAACTGGACTTTAAAACATACACACACACACACACACACACACAAGCTGGGCACTGGTGGCTCGCGCCTATGATCCTAGCTACTCAGGAGGCTGAGATCTGAGGATCATGGTTCTAAACCACCCTGGGCAGGAAAATCAGTGAGACTCTTATCTCCAGTAAACCACTCAGAAAAGCAGAAGTGGCACTGTGGCTTAAGTGGTAGAGCCCTTACCTTGAGCTGAAGAACTAAGGGACAGTGCCCAGGCCCAGAGTTCAAGCCACATGACCAACAACAACAACAAATCTACTGCTACAGATGACCAGTAAATACATGAAAAATGTTCAACATCCTTAGGCATCAGGAAATCAGCCTAGGTGCTCATCAATAGATAGCTAGGTGCTCATCAATAGATAGCCAGGTACTGATAGCTCACACTTATAATCCTAACTGCTGAACAGATTGGCACTTAGAGGAGGATCAAGGTTTGAAGCCACCCCAGGCAGAAAAGTCAGTGACACTTCATCTTTAATTAACTAGCAAAATGTTGGACTGAAGGTCTGGCTCAACTGATAGAGTGGTTGTCCTTAGCAGAGCAAGAGCTCAATGTCTTGTGGTCAAGTGTGCATGAGTTGGTAAAGAAAAAATGTGGAGCCAGGTGCCAGTGGCTCACACCTGTAATCCTAGATACTCAGGAGGCGGGGTTCTGACGATCTCTGTTTAAAATGAGCCCAGGCAAAAAGTCCCCATGAGACTCTTATCTCCAATAAACTACTCAAACAAGGGAAGTGGTGCTGTGGCTCAAGTGGTAGAGCACTGGCCTTGAGCACAAAGAGCCTCAGAGACAGCAAGCCGACAAAAAAAAAAAAAGAGCCAGGGTTCAGGTGCCAGTGGCTCATGCCTGTAATCCTAACTACTCAGACAGCTGAGTTCTGAAGAGTGCAGTTCAAACCAGCTCAGCCAGGCAAATTCATGAACCTCAACTCCAATTAGCCAGCAAATAGCCAGCATTGAAAGTGTGGCTCAGAAGGTAGGGTGCCAACCATGAGCAAAAATGTCAGATTTAGGAAATCAAGCCCCAATGCTATATCACATACAAAGAAGGTAAAGAAGAGAAGGGAGACAAAAATGTCTCTTTCTCTCTCTCTCTCTCTCTCTTTCTCTCTCTCTCTCTCTCTCTCTCTCTCTCTCACACACACACACACACACACACAGACACACTGGAGTTTAAATCAGTCATTAAGAAGAATGAAATTACTATCACCCCTCTGTACATCACCTTTACAACAATTAAAAATGAATGAAATTGTGTTCGCTGGAAAAATAAATGGAACTAGAGACATTATGTTTAGTGTCACTAAGAGAATAATAATAGCCAGGTGCTGGTGATTCATGTCTGTAATCCTAGCTACTCAAGAGGCTGAGATCTGAGGACAACCCAGGCAGAAAAGTCTATGAGACTCTTACACCCAATAAACTACTCAGAAAAAGCCAGAAGTGATGCTGTGGTTCAAGTGGTAGAGTCTACCACTGAGCACAAAGAGGCTCAGTGTCAGCATCCAATTCTTGAGTTCAAGCCCTAGGACCAGCAATATATATGTATATGGGGGGTGGATATGATCAAAGTACATTATTATATACATGAATGGAAATATGATAAACCTCTTTTACCTGTACAATTTAATACATGTGAATAAAACAATTCCAAACAAAATGTTCAAGAAAAATAGAAGTTTACTACCAGCAGGATGCCCATTTCCCAGCATGCTCCCAGAATGATTATGGTTCATGCCTGTAAGGAGGCTAAGATCTAAGGATCACAGTTCTAATCAAGTCCAGGCAGTCAAATCTGGGAGACTCTTTATCTTCGATGAACCAGCAAAAAGCCCAAAGTAGAAGTGATTTGTGATTCAAGTTATAAAGCTCAAATTATATATTCCTGAGCAATAAAACCTATGCAGAAGTTCGGAGCTGGTGACTCATGCCTGTAATCCTAGCTACTCAGGAGGCTAAGATATGGCTCTTGTGGTTCAAAACCAGCCCAGGCAGGAAAGTCTGTGAGACTCATCTCCAAATAGCCACCAGATACCCAGATGTGGCTCAAAGTGCTAGAGTGCTAGCCTTGAGCAAAAAAGCCCAGAAGCAGTGCCCAGGCCCTGAATTCAAGCCCCACAAGACACACACACACACACACACACACACACACACACACACACACACACACACCCCACTACCACCACCACCACCACCAACAACAACAACAACAAAACCGATGCAAGAGCACAGTGCATTGAGTTCAAGTCCCAATACTGGGGCTTCACACACACACACACACACACACACACACACACACACACACACACATTAGCTTAAAAGTGACTTGTGTTGGTGCACTCCCCAAAACCCTACACAAGGCAGCAAGGGCAAGAGGATTAGCTCAACTAGTATAGTGGAGGCTCTGGGTTCAATCTCCACTAATGAAAAAAAAAAATCCTAGCTGGAGAAGTTATTTTTTTGGTTGGTCGTGGGGCCTGAACTCTGGGCCTGGGAGCTGTCCCTAAGCTACAGGCTAGCACTGTACCACTTGAGCCACAGTGCCACTTCCAGCTTTTTCTGCTTATGTGGTAGTGAGGAATCAAACCCAGGGCCTCATGCTTGTGAGGCAAGCACTCTACCACTGAGTCACCTTTCCAGCCCCATGGAGGAATTATTTTTAACCTGTACTTCCTAGACCTTCAAAATCACTGATTTGGGGCTGAGAAGTTGGCTCAGTGGTAGAGTGCTTGCCTCACTTGAGTGAGCCATGGGTTCGATTCCTCAGCACCACATAAGCAGAAAAAAAGCTGGAAGTGGCACTGTGGCTCAGGTGGTAGGGCACTAGCCTTGAACTGAAGAGCTGAGGGACAGCGCCCAGGCTGAGTTCAGCGCCCAGGCTGAGTTCAGCCCCCAGGCCAAGTTCAGCCTCCACCACCGACCCTCCCCCCAAATCACTGACTTTCCCCCACTTCTGCTGTGTACTAATTATATTTATGAATGGAACAGGAGAAAGAAGTTCATCTTGCTTTGCAAAGTGTTTTTAAGAGTGATGTTTCTTACACTTTAAAGTGTGCACAATCAGAATTAAGCTGTTATGCATAATTTGATTCAGAAGGTCTGAGTTGGACTTAGAATTATGCATTTTTGTCTTTCCTTTCTGATTGGTGGTACTGAGGTTTGAACTTAGGGCCTCATGCTGCAGGCATTGTGCCTTGCCTCCTGCTCTCTAGTACCAAATTCTGCATTTTTCACAAGCTGCCTTTTACTCATCTTCAATCTGCATCTTTTTTTGGGGGGGTCCGTCCGGTCGTATGGCCTGAACTCTGGGCCTGGCGCTGTCCCTCAGCTCTTCAGCTCAAGGCTAGCGCTCTACCACTTGAGCCACAGCGCCACTTCCGGCTTTTTTCTTTTTGCTTATGTGGTGCTGAGGAATCGCACCCAGGGCCTCGAGCATGCAAGGCAAGCGCTCTACCACTGAGCCACCTTCCCAGCCCCATCAATCTGCATCTTGTGTAGCAAGGTTACACAGCTTAAAATTTTCCTTCTGGCTGGGAATGTGGCTTAGTGGTAGAGTGCTTGCCTAGCATTCATGAAACCCAGCGTTTGATTCCTCAGTACCACATACATAGAAAGGTCTGGAAGTGGCGCTGTCACTCAAGAGGTAGAGTGTTAGCACTTGAGCAAAAGCAGTGCCCAGGCCCAGAGTTCAAGCTCCAACTGGCAAATAAATAAATAAAAATCTGTCTTTTCTTCCTGCTTCCTCCCTGCCTCCCTCCCTTCTTCTCTTCTTTCCTTCCTGAGATGGGATGTCATTATATTGCTAGACTGGCCTGGAACCCCTCCAGACAAGTAGCTGGGACTACAAGCAAAAGCTTCTGCACTCGTTTTCTACTGCTACAAGGTTCACTCAAGGTTCTTCTTTGGCAGTGTTTTAGGATTCTTTACAATACAAACCTCTACCAGTTGTCTTCCATTCTCAAGTGGAAGAAATTTAAGGCTTAGGGAAGAGGACATAAAACCGGGAAAGGGTGGGGCGGGAGACGGAACCCAAGTGAGGGAAAAGTAGGAACTGAAGAAACGGAGGAGGATTTTTACGTTTGGACCGGAGCCGGTTGGATTTAGCGGGTGGACCGGAAGTGCTTTCGAGCAAGCGCTTCACGATGGCGGGTCCTGTCAGCTTGCGAGAGCTGCTCATGGGAGCCTCGGCCTGGATGGGCTCGGAAAGCCCGGGAGCGTCTCCCACAGAAGGCGGAGGCACCGTAGCTGGCGCATCGGAGCCTCCGTGGCGAGAGGATGAGATCTGCGTGGTGGGAATCTTCGGCAAGACGGCTCTGCGCCTCAATTCCGAGAAGTTTTCTCTTGTGAACACCGTGTGCGACCGGCAGGTTTTCCCCCTCTTTCGCCATCAGGATCCAGGGGATCCAGCGCCCGGAATCAAGCCGGAAGCTGGCGCCGTCGAGGAGGCCGGTGGAGCTGGGGACCCAGGTGCTGCGTCCGGGGATCCGGTTCGGGGAACTTCAGCTGCTACGGAAGGTAATCGGACTGAGCCGGGTTCCCAGGACTTCAGCCTTTTGCAGGCCTATTACAATCAGGAAAGCAAAGTTCTCTATCTTCTTCTCACTTCCATCTGCGACAATTCACAACTTCTGCGGGCATGTAGGGCCCTTCAGAGCGGTGAAGCTGGAGGAGGCCTGTCTTTGCCTCATGCCGAAGCTCACGAGTTCTGGAAGCATCAGGAGAAGTTACAGTGCCTCAGTCTCCTTTACCTTTTCTCCGTCTGTCATATCTTGCTGTTGGTCCATCCTACTTGTTCCTTTGACATCACTTATGATCGAGTTTTCAGAGCCTTGGATGGGCTGAGACAAAAAGTACTGCCCCTCCTCAAAACAGCCATTAAGGATTGCCCAGTCGGAAAAGACTGGAAGCTAAACTGCCGGCCTTGCCCACCTAGACTTCTTTTCCTCTTTCAATTGAATGGAGCCCTCAAGGTGGAACCCCCGCGGAGTCAAGATACAGCTCATCCAGACAAACCCAAGAAGCATTCACCCAAGAGAAGACTGCAGCATGCACTGGAGGACCAGATCTATAGAATCTTCCGCAAGAGTCGAGTCTTGACTAATCAGAGTATCAACTGCCTCTTTACTGTACCTGCCAACCAAGCATTTGTGTACATAGTCCCTGGATGCCAAGAGGAGGACCCAGTAGGCATGTTACTGGACCAACTTAGGAGTCATTGTACAGTGAAGGACCCTGACTCCTTGCTGGTGCCTACACCCCTTTCTGGGCCTAGGCGATACCAGGTGATGAGGCAGCATAGCAGACAACAACTTTCCTTCCACATTGATAGCACCAGCTCCAGTTCTTCGGGCCAGCTAGTGGATTTTACTCTTCGGGAATTCCTATGGCAGCATGTGGAGCTGGTCCTAAGCAAGAAAGGTTTTGATGACAGTGTAGGCAGGAACCCTCAGCCATCCCATTTTGAACTTCCCACTTACCAGAAGTGGATCTCAGCAGCTGCAAAGCTGTACGAAGTGGCTATTGATGGGAAAGAAGAGGACTTGGGGTCACCCACTGGGGAGATAACGTCTAAGATTTTAAGCAGTATTAAAGTCTTGGAAGGGTTTTTGGATATCGACACAAAATTCTCAGAAAACCGGTGTCAGAAAGCTTTACCCATGGCTCATAGTGCCTACCAGTCAAATTTGCCTCATAATTACACAATGACAGTCCATAAGAATCAGCTTGCCCAGGCTCTTCGAGTGTACAGTCAACATGCTAGAGGTCCAGCCTTTCATAAATATGCCATGCAGTTACACGAGGACTGCTACAAGTTTTGGAGCAATGGCCACCAGCTCTGTGAAGAGAGAAGTTTAACTGATCAACACTGTGTACATAAATTTCACTCATTACCTAAGTCAGGTAAGGTGTTTTTGTGTGTGTATGTGTTTTTCCCCCCCAGATTTCTTTTTTGCAATATCTTTTTCTGAATGCAATTTTGTTTTTTGTGTGTATGTGTCGGTCATGGGCTTAAACTCTGGGCTTGGGTACTGTCCCTGAGCTCTTCAGCTTAAGGCAAGTGCTCTAACACTTGAGCCACAACCCCACGTCCCCTTTTCTGGTGGTCAATTGGAGATAAGAGTCTCAGGGACTTTCCTATCCTGGCTGGCTTTGAACCATTATCCTCAGATCTCAGCCACCTGAGTAGTTAGGAATACAGGCGTGAGCCATTCTACTGAATCCAAATTTTTTAGCTATGTTTTTGTTGTTGCTCACAGTGTTTTGATGTTTTTTTGTTTTTTTTTTTTTGGTCCAGTCGTTGGGCCTGAACTCTGGGCCTGGGCGCTGTCCTTCAGCTCTTCAACTCAAGACTAGCGCTCTACCACTTGAGACACAGTGCCATTTCCGGCTTTTTTCTTATGTGGTGCTGAAGAATCGAACCCAGGGCTTCAGGCATGCAAGGCAAGCGCTCTACCACTGAGCCACCTTCCCAGCCCTGTTTTGATGTTTTAAAAAGAGTCCAGTGGACTCTTAAATTAACCACCAGAAAACTGGAAGTGGCACTGTGGCTCAAGTGGTAGAGCGCTCACCTTGAACTAAAATGCTCAGGGACAGCGCCCAGGCCCAGAGTTCAAGCCCCACGACCTACAAAAAAAAAAAAAAAAAAAAAACAGAAAGAGCCCAGTAGAAATTTAGGTACCATAGCAGTATGTTTTATCTGCTGATGTAAAAAGGAAATTTTAGGGTCTGGGAAGTTGTCTCAGTGGTAGAGTACTTGCCTTGCATGCATGAGGCCCTGGGTCCAATTCCTCAGCATCACATAAGCAAAGAAAAAGCCAGAAGTGGTGCTGTGGCTCAAATGGTAGGGCTCTATACTTGAGCTGAAGAGCTGAGGGACAGTGCTGAGATCCAGCGTTCAGCTCCCACCACCGACAAAAAAAAAAAGGAAATTTTAGTTATAACTAATTTCTCATATTCTTGTATTTAAAGAAGGAACTCTAATGAATTGGTAAGTGATAAGTCTTACAAAGTTTCAGATATTTTGCATTAACACTTTTACTTTAGAGTACTTGTTGAATTAAATATAAGTGTATGGTCACCATGATGGTGGCAACAGGAGGGGAAAAATCCACTTAGGAATTCAAAATGTTAGATTAGGACTAGAGATGGAATGCAGTGGTAGAGTGCTTGCATAACACATTAAGCCCTAAAATCCATCCCCAGTACCAAAAACTCAAAACTAAAAAGTTTTAGAGAGCTGGGAATGTGGCTTAGTGGTAGAGTGCTTGCCTAGCATGCATGAAGCCCTGGGTTTGATTCCTCAGTACCACATAAAACAGAAAAAGCTGGAAGTGGTGCTGTGCTCAAGTGGTAGAGTGCTAGGCTTGAGTAAAAGAAGCTCAGAGAAACAGTGCCCAGGTTCTGATTTTCAAGCCCAGGGCTGGCAAAAAGAAAAAAGAAGTTTTAGACTAAAAAGTATTAATCACTTTATGTACTTTTACTTGCTTCCTCGATGTATTTAGTCAGCTTTGTGTGTGTGTTTGTGTGTATGTATGTGTATTTCCAAAGAACTATTCAGAGAATTTTTAAGGTTTTCTATTTTTAGAATATAAGGTGACTCTACATTGTGTTTGTAAAATTAATAGTGATTTTTTTTTTTCCAGGAGAAAAACCTGAGGCTGATAGAAATCCCCCTGTGCTGTATCACAATAGCCGAGCTCGATCCACTGGTGCCTGTAACTGTGGAAGGAAACAAGCACCTCGAGATGATCCCTTTGATATTAAGGCAGCTAACTATGACTTCTATCAGGTAGACTCTGTTTTTTTTCTTCCTCCTTGTCTTCTTTTTTATTTTCTTTTCTGTCAGCATGGGGCTTAAACTGGGGTCTGAGCACTGTCCTTGAGCTCTTTTGCATAAGGTCAACATTCTACCACTTTGAGCAGCACTTCAAGTTTTCTAGTGGTTATGGACTTTTCCCAGGCTGGTTTTGAATTGTGATCCTCAGATCTCAGCCTCTTAAGAGTAGCTAGGATTACAGGCATGAGCCACCAGCACCCAGCCTATTTATTTATTCATCTATTTTTGCCAGACTTGGGGCTTGAACTCAGGGCCTGCACACTGTCCCTGAGCTGCTTTTGCTCAAAGCTAGCACTCTACCACTTGAGCCACAGTGCCACTTCTGGCTTTTTTCTGTTTATGTGACACTGAGGAATTGAACCCAGGGCTTCATGCATGCTAGGCAAGCACTCTACCATTAAGTCACATTCCCAGCCAATAAACTCTTTTTTTGTTATTGTTGTTGGTTGTGGGGCTTGAACTTAGGGTGTGGGTGTTGTCTCTGAATCTCTTTGTACTCAAGGCTAGTGCTCTACCACTTGAGCCACAGCACCACTTCTGGCTTTTTTCTTTCTGTTTATATGGTGCTGAGGAATCGAACCCAGGGCCTCATGCATGCAAGGCAAGTACTCTACCACTGAGCCACCTTCCCAGCCCTCTTTTTTTTGTGTGTGTGTGGGTCATGGGCTTGAACTCTGGGCCTTGGCGCTGTCCTTGTGCTCTTCAGCTCAAGGCAAGCACTCTACCACTTGAACCACAGCGTCACTTCCAGTTTTTTGAGTGGTTTATTGGAGATAAGAGTCTCATGGCCTTTCCTGCCCGGGCTGACTTTGAACCATGATACTCAGATCTCAGCCTCCCGAGTAGCTAGGATTACAAGCGTGAGCCACCGGCGCCCGGCCTTATTTATTATTATTTTTTTTAATGAATATCATCTGAGTAAAACTACAGATTCTTTTCAGAGCCTCATGTGATAGTGCAAGCCTATATCTCATACTCAGGAGGCTGAGACAGGAGGACGGTGAATTCAAAGCCAATGTTGACTACAAGCAATTGAGGCCAGCCTTGGCTGCATAGGGAAACCTTGTCACACCAGAAACAGCAGAAGCAAATACCTAGGAAAGTTAATTCAACTGCAGTGCAAGTTGAACTGCATATGCAAGTTCTTTGCATATGCGTGTACTTATTTGCTCACATATTCATTGCTGATCTTAGAATAAAGGATGTGCTATTTTATTTTATTCATTTAGGAAAAAGGTCCTCAAGACCATGCTTGTCTTGAACTCTGTCCTCCTGCCTCAGCCTCCCAGGTGCTGACATTATAGGTGTGACCTATCATACTGGACTCAAGAATATATTAATTTTTTAGTATATTGTTTGTTTTTAGTGGTTTACATTAATTATGTGCGGAGAATTTCATTGCTACTTTTCCACACATAACAATGTGTTGCTTAGAAAAATACTAGCATAGGGTTGGGAAGGTGGCTCAGTGGTAGAGCGCTTGGCTTGCATGTATGAGGCCCTGGGTTTGATTCCTCAGCACCACATAAGCAAAAAGAAGCCAGAAGTGGCGCTGTGGTTCAAATGGTAGAGTGCTAGCCTTGAGCTGAAGAGCTGAGAGACAGTGCCCAGGCCCAGAGTTCAGGCCCCACAACTGGACCCCCCCCCAAAAAAAAAGAAGAAAAATACTAGCATAAATTGTAGAAAGGAGTCATTGTAATATTTACAAACATGCAGGTAATGTACTTTGATCAAATACACATCATCTATATTGTTCTTTTTTTAAATCTCCCTTTCCTCCTATCTCAAGTGTGGTTTTTTTGGTTTTGTTTTTGGTCAGTTGTGACACTTGAACTCAGGGCCTGGGCACTGTCCTGAGCTTTTCTGCTCAAGGCTAGTGCTCTACCACTTTGAACCATAGTGCCGCTTCTCTTTTTCTGGTGTTTAATTGGAGAGTCTCACAGACTTTTCTGCCTGGTCTGGCTTGGAACTGCAATCCTCAAATTTCAGCTAGGATTACAGGCCTGAGCCACCAGCACAGAGCTAAGAAGTTTATTTTAAATGAAAATTTTATATGTTTTTTTCTCCCCTTTATAGCTTCTGGAAGAAAAATGTTGTGGGAAGTTGGATCATATCAATTTTCCAGTATTTGAACCAAGTACTCCAGATCCTGCTCCTGCTAAAAATGAGTCCTCTCCTGCCCCTCCAGATTCAGATGCTGATAAGCTTAAAGAAAAAGAACCTCAAACTCAAGGAGAGAGTACAAGCCTGAGTTTAGCTTTAAGTTTGGGCCAGTCCACAGATAGCTTAGGTACTTACCCAGCTGATCCACAAGCAGGAGGAGACAACCCAGAAGTTCATGGTCAAGGGGAAGTAAAACCTGAGAAGAGACCAAACTTGGTTGATCGACAGGCATCCACAGTTGAATATCTTCCAGGAATGCTACATTCAAATTGCCCAAAAGGTCTCCTACCCAAATTCTCAAGTTGGTCTTTGGTTAAACTAGGTCCTGCTAAGTCTTATAACTTTCATACAGGTTTGGACCAACAGGGCTTCATTCCAGGAACAAACTATCTAATGCCTTGGGACATTGTCATTAGGACTAGAGCTGACGATGAAGGAGACTTAGACACAAATTCATGGCCTGCTCCAAATAAAGCTATTCCTGGAAAAAGAAGTGCCATCGTAATGGGAAGAGGAAGACGACGAGATGACATAGCTCGAGCTTTTGTGGGCTTTGAATATGAAGATTCTCGAGGTCGGAGATTTATGTGCTCGGGGCCTGAAAAAATAATGAAAGTGATGGGCAGTGGACCAAAGGAATCAGCTTTAAAAGCTCTAAATAGTGATATGCCCTTATATATTCTGTCATCATCTCAGGGCAGAGGTCTAAAGCCACATTATGCTCAACTTATGAGACTTTTTGTTGTGGTTCCAGATGCTCCTTTGCAGATAGTACTCATGCCTCAGGTAAGAAATACAGCTTTTGCTCCAAACAAAAAATGCTGATGCTTGTTTTGATTGTTTTTAAAAATACAAGTTAATTATTTTATTAGATTTTTTTCCCTAAAGTACAGGTTAAATAGTTCTTTTAGTAAGTAGTTCTTGGGTTTAAAATATCTTTTATGGGGGCTGGGAAGGTGGCTCAGTGGTAGAGTGCTTGCCCTGCATGCATGAGGCCCTGGGTTTGATTCCTCAGCACCACATAAGCAGAAAAAGCCAGAAGTGTCGCTGTGGCTCAAGTGGTAGAACGCTAGCCTTGAGCTGAGGCCCAGAGTTCAGGCCCCAGGACTGACCACCCCCCCCAAAAAAAAAAAATATATATGTATATATATATATATATATATATATACACATATGCCTGATATTGTTTCTTAAAAAGAAACAGCTACTTCTTAAAAAGAAGTAGCTTGCCTTTGAAACTAGTGATGCTTAAGGCATTGTCTTGTTCATTACTGAGAGTCTCAAACTCTCACTTGTTCTAACACTGGAGCCATGCCTCCAGTTCTTTCAGGTGTTGAGAAATGTAAAACCAATTGTATTTCCTGTGTTCTTTTCTTTCTTTGTTTTTTTTCCAGGTTCAGCCAGGTCCACCACCATGTCCAGTATTTTATCCAGAAAAACAAGAAATCACTCTTCCTCCTGATGGCCTTTGGGTCTTGAGATTTCCTTATGCATATGTGACCGAGAGAGGACCTTGTTTCCCTCCTAAGGAAAATGTACAGTTAATGAGTTATAAGGTGCTCCGTGGAGTTCTTAAAGCTGTGACACAATAAGAGTTTTTCAACCAGTTCAAGCCTTAACCAAAGCTGGTTTTTGGTTTTGGTGTGAGGTTTTTGTGTTGTTGTGGTATATGTATACTGTGTTTTTCCCAAACCCAAATGTGTTTTGGTTACAGGTTTCAGTATTTGTATAATAATTCTTTCACTATTTCATTACATTGTTGATATTTATTGCCAATGGGGTTACAGCTTCCTAATAAAGACTGGCTTAGTTGTAGACAGCTTCCTAATAAAGACTGGCTTAGTTGTAGAACAAAAGATCATAAAATATATAAAGTTGATAGCTCTCTTTTCTCGTGTTTCATTTTCACTGCTTCTTATTGAATGTTTCATAACCATGTTGGGTCAAAACATTGTTTGCTAGAATTGTTTTTGCTACTCTGATTTTTCATTTAAAGATACTGCTTCTGGCTGGGTGCCAGTGGCTCAAGCCTATAATCTTACCTACTCAGGAAACTGAGAACTGAGGATCATGGTTCAAAGCCAACCAGAGCAGGAAATCCCATGATATCTTATCTCCAGTTAACTACCAAAAAAGCTGAAAGTGGAGCTGTGGCTCAAGTGGTAGAGCACTAGCCTTGGAAGCTCAGGAACAGTGCCCTCATCCTGAGTTCAAACATTCTTTCATTCACTAAGCTAAATCCCCAACCCTTCTTCTGATTAGTTTTGAGATAAGAGTCTTGGTTTTCTTTTTTCCTAGCTGTCTTGGACTTCAGTCTTCCAAATTGAAGCTTCTTGCTGTAACTAAAGTTGGTTGAGATAGTTGTCACAAATGTTTTTCCTCTGCTGGCCTCAAACCAAAGATTCTTTGGCTCTTCGCCTCCTGAGTAGCTTGCCTGGCCAATTTCTTTTCTTCTTCTTCTTCTTTTTTTTTTTTTGAGACAAGTTCTGACTAGGTAGTCCAAGCTGATCTTGAACTCTGAATCTTCCTGCCTCTACCTCCCAAGTGCTGGGATTATAGCCACGTAGTGAGAACTCCTTAAACATGCACATATGTAAATGAGACTTAGGCCAGAAACTCAGTTTTAGGAGTTCCAACATACCAAGTCTGGTCATTCATCTCAGTACAGCAAATAGAGACAAGTACTAGTGAAGTGTAGTGCACACAAAGTAAGCATTTCAGCTCATCGTTGGGGTACTGACATGAACTTTACATTTAAATAGAGGAAGAACTGGGGCAGGGGGAGGGACGGATGTATAAGCAAGTAGTCCTGGATAACATAGCTGGTTGAGCATTATTTGAGTTCTAGTTCTACAAAGAATTCTGGAGCCATTTTTATTGCTATAATCACTTGAGGGGAGCAATTCAAGCTTTGGGGAAGTGATACTTTACAACTAAAATTTCTGTTTTTGTGCCTATTACATGCCAAGCCTCAGTAATTGTTTGCATTTCTTCCTGTAGGGTATAACAGCAGCATATAGCAAGGTATAGTCTCATCATTATAGGTAGTCACCCTCATTAGGTGATGATTTATCCTGAGGCTGTTCTTGGGGGTAGTTTCATTCCTTTTGTCATAAAGATGTTATTATTAGTCCTATCCTTGAAGCCCAGGACAGTCACTCAGAGCAAAAAAGACGGTTAGAAAATGAAGGCAGGGATGCCAAACTTTCATCCTGCTTTATAGATACCTTTTTATCCATCCATCTCTTCCCTGGGTTCAGGATCATGTGTTTGTATGAGCCATAACGGGCTTTTTTGCTCATTCTACTAGTTGAGCCATGCCTCCAGCCTGGCATTTTGCTGGCTAACTGGAAATAAAGAATTTCACAGGCTGAGAATGTGGTTTAGTGGTAGAGTGCTTGCCTAGCATGCATGAAGCCCTGAGTTTGAGTCCTCAGTACCACATAAACAGAAGAAGCCAGAAGTGGCACTGTGGCTCAAGTGGTAGCCTTGAGCAAAAGAAGCTCAGGGACAGTGCCCAGGCCCTGAGTTCAAGCCTTAGGACTGGCAACAACAACAGCAACAAAAAAGAAACATCTTCCCAAGGATGAGTTTGAACCATTTTCCTCCATGTCTCAGCCTCTTGAGTGGCTAGCATCAGCCACTGGCATCCAGGGTCCCCACCTCCCCCGCCCCCTCTACTGAAGATCAAACCATGCTAGGCAAGGACTCTACCACAAATCCTAGATTAATTCCTTTAAATTGAAATGTGAGCCTGGTGCTGGTGGCTCACGCCTGTAGCTACTCAGGAGGCTGAGATCTAAGCATCATGGTTCAAAACCAGCCCGGGCAGGCAAGTCCATGAGACTGTTATCTCCAATAAAACCATCAGAAAGCTGGAAGTGGCGCTGTGGCTCAAGTGGTAGAGCGCTAGCCTTGAGCTGAAGAGCTGAGGGACTGCGCCCACGCCCAGAGTTCAAGCCCCACGACCAACGCCCCCCCCCCAAAAAAAAAAAAAATTGGAAATGTGGCTTGGTTGCTTGGAATATGTGCGATGGCTGGATGTAGGCATGAAAAAAAGACTAGTGGAGCCTTTTGGGATTCGATGCCACAACAAAAATGAGAAGAGTATCTATTGCATGCCAGACCTCAGTTAATTGTTTGCATTTCCTAGAGAAGCCTCTAAAACCTGCTGTGGAATCTTCTTTCCTTCTTCCAATTACGGCAGCCTTTCCTGAGGCGTTCCCTTTGAATAATAGCCTTTCCAGACACACACACACACACACCACCAGGTGACTCAACGCAGCACCTTGACAGAAAACCCGAGTGCGCTTGCGCTTCGGAGCCCCTTTGTTACTCGGGGGCCCAAAAGTCAGACTGCGCCTGCGTGGTAAACCGGCACGAACAAGTGCGCTGCACGCCGGACACCGGCGGGGGGCGAACAGACCTCGAGCAGCCGCCGCCGCCGCCGCCGCCGCCGCCGCCGCCGCCGCCGCCGCTGCCGCCGTCGCCCGCCGCAGCCGTTGCGCCGCAGCGGCGTTCAGCGATCTCCCTCCTCCCACTCAGAGACAGGAGACTTCACCCCGGGCTCCGAGACCAAGAATGTCGTCCTCCGCGGCCTTTTATCTTCTGTCGACCCTGGGAGGGTACCTGCTGACCTCGTTCCTGTTACTGAAATACCCGACCTTGCTGCACCAGAGGAAGAAGCAGCGATTCCTCAGTAAACACATCTCCCACCGCGGAGGTGAGCGGGCCGCGGGGCGGAGCGGGCTGGGGGGGCCCTGCGGCGGGCCGGGCCGGGCCGGGCCGGGGGTGTGAGGGGTCCCTCGGGCCGTTCCACCTGAGGCGGCGGCGGCGTGGAAATACGGGGAGAGTTTTGAGGACGAAAGGGATGGTGTGCTGTGGGGGTCGCCGTCGGAAGGGGGGATTTTGAGGGGAGGGGAGGACACGGGAGGGGTGAGAGCCGCGGGAGTCCAGGGGTCCTGACTGGGGTGGGGTGGGGGGGTGAGGGAGGAAGTCAGGACGGACATGAAACGGTAGGTGTTGGTGGTGGGGGGGTGTTTCTGGCATCTGGAAGGATGATGGCTAAGGACCCTTTTCTGGCAGCCAGGGTCGAGCCCCGGATACCCCGGGTCGGGGGTGGGGTGGGGGGTAGAGGGAAGGTGGGAACCGACGGCTCGGAAACCAGCCGGTGCCCCTAGCAGGCCCGGTGAACTCCCAAGGAGGATCTGAGGGTACCTAGAGCATGATGATGCCTGCAGGGTGACAGTCCTTCACCCCCAATAATTAAGAAGAGAGAGGAAATGGAATCCTCCAAGCTGGACATAGGCTTACCCAAAGCCACAATTAGCGCTTGGGTGGAACTGGAAGGCCCTGTTCTAGGGGCTCCAAACCTTGCACCTGTTTCTCCCCTCCCCCCCCCCCGTTGTTGTTGCTTTTGTTTGTTTGTTTGGCTTGGTTTTTTTTTTTTTTTATTTATTCCAGCAATCACAGTGGATTTCCAAAAGACTGTATCTATATATCTATATCTCCCAGTCCTGGGGCTTGAAAGTTAGGGCCTCTGCCTAGGCACTGTTCCTGAGCTTCTTTTAGCTCAAGACTAGCGCTCTACCAACTTGAGCCACAGTGCCATTTCTGGCATTTTCTGTTGATGTGGTACTGAGGAATCAAACCTAGGACTTCATGCATGCTAGGCAAGCACTCTACCTCTAAGCCACATACCCAGCCCCCAAACACTCGTTCTCTCTCTCCCCCCCCACCCGTGTATGTGTATATGTGTGTGTGTGTGTGTGTGTGTGTGTGTGTGTGTGTGTGTGTGTGTGTATAATAGAACAGTTTTATTTAAAGAAAACAAAGATCGGTTTCTTTTGGAAATGTCTGCTGAAAGGATTCTTGGTAGCAGTATTAGTGCCCAGGCCAAGAGTTCAAGCCCATGACCACCATCACTAACAACAAAATAATAGCTAATTACCAATTATCTATATTGTCTCTGCTAATATTTTGAAATGTAACCTTTAATGACACATTTTCCTACATTTAGAATCATTTGTGATAGATACATTTATTCCAGATACCCACAGAGTCAGGATAAGGATAAAGATAGCAAGTGAAAGAATGTAACCGCACCTTTCTGTGTCTTTGAGCCAATTGAATTAAATAATGGGCTTTTAAGAAAGTATATTCTGTTCGTTCACAAACTTTATAGATCATGAGAATGACAATTTGCCTTGTGAAGGTTAAAATGTGTGACTTTTACTAAGTATCACTATTCCACAATACTGTGAAATATGTGAAATTTATGTAATCACCTAACTCAATAAAAAAAAAAAATGAGAGAAGGGATGGGTTAGGATCAATGGGTGATAATGTTGTCACTTAAAGATAATAAAAATTATTGTTATTATGGGGGGGGTCCGGTCATGGGGCCTGAACTCTGGGCCTGGGCGCTGTCCCTCAGCTCTTCAGCTCAAGGCTAGCGCTCTACCACTTGAGCCACAGCACCACTTCCGGCTTTTTTCTTTTTGCTTATGTGGTGCTGAGGAATCGAACCCAGGTCCTCAGGCATGCAAGGCAAGCGCTCTACCACTGAGCCACCTTCCCAGCCCCTAAAAATTATTTTTAAAAAGAAAGTATTCTGTTCATTGGGGCTGATTGGCCAAACAATAAAAGATGGTAACTGATCAAATCCATTCTCTCCCTTGTAACTTTTATCCTTGTCCTCAAGGTAGGAGGCTGTAACAATCTGGTTATCTTGCTGTAGATTCCCTTGGCATGTAAGGGTTGCTCTTTCACATTGGCCCCAAAATTTAATTGTCTGTGGAAGAAAACAATCTTAGGCATCAAGTTGAGTTTCCAAAGTCCCAAAGGAAGTAGCATTCTGCAGTTGTACCTTGAGTTTTGTTTTCATTTCAGCTTTGTTCCTTCATTCCTCTATCAGGGAACTCTTCTTCACTTTTCAGTGAGGACTTTTTCCCACCAGGCTTGTTCATTCCTTCTGATGGCTTGGTTGCAACAGAGTGAGTTAGCTTTCATTTAATAATACTATTTTACTTAATAAAGCAAACTTTAGTAAACTAAAGTGCGCTTTTGTGTGTGTGTATGTGTGCGCTGTCTCTCTCTCTCTCTCTCTCTCTCTCTCTCTCTCTCTCTCTCTCTCTCTCTCTCACACACACACACACACACACACACACATGCCAGTACTGGGGGTTGGACTCAGGGGCTGGGTACTTTCCCTGTGCTTTTTTTGATGTTGTGAGTTTAAGCCTACATGCACACACACAAAAAAATCCCTTTTTTTTTGTGAGTCATACAGCTTGAACTCTGGGCCTGGACACTGTCCCTCAGCCCTTCAGCTCAAGGCTAGAGCTCTACTTGAGCCACAGCTTCACATCCTGTTTTCTGGTTTATTGGAGATAAGAGTCTCACAGGGCTGGGAAGGTAGCTCAGTGATAGAGTGCTTGCCTCGCATGCATGAGGCCCTGAGTTCGATTCCTCAGCACCACATACGCAGAAAAAAAGCCGGAAGTGGGCTGTGGCTCAAGTGGTAGAGCACTAGCCTTGAGCTGAAGAGCTGAGGGACAGTGCCCAGGCCCAGAGTTCAGGTCTCACAACCAGCCTGGGCTGGCTTTGAACCATGATCCTCAGATCTCAGCCTCCTGAGTAGCTAGGACTACAGATGTGAGCCACTGGCACCCAACTTTTAGCTGTCTAGCTTTCTATGATTCTTGAGTTTCATATGATCTCCCTGTGATTCACTGACATTGTGTGTGTGTGTGTGTGTGTGTGTGTGTGTGTGTGGCCCTCCTGGGGTTTGCTCAGGTCTGAGTGTTGTCTGTGAGCTTTTGTCCTCAAGGCTAACACTCTTCCATTTGAACCACAACTCCACTTCTGGCTTTTTTGAGTGCCACTAGTACCCTGCTTCACGGCCATTTTTCACAGAAAGTTGATTTATTGCAAAGTAACTAAATTGATAAGGTTAATCTTTATATCTGTATATAAAAACTCACGTCTCCCCATACTCACACACACACACACACACACACAAACACACATAATTGCAGCAGGAAATTGCAGGGAAAACATACTAAATATTCTTCCCCCTCCCCCCCAGTCCTGGGGCTTGAACTTAGGGCCTGGGTGCAGCCTCTGAGCCTCTTTGTACTCAAAGCTAGCACTCTTATCACTTGAGCCACAGTACTACTTTTGGCTTTTTCTGAGTAGTTTATTAGAGAAGAATTTCATGGGGCTGGGAAGGTGGCTCAGTGGTAGAGTGCTCGCCTTGCATGCATGAGGCCCTGGGTTCGATTCCTCAACACCACATAAGCAGAAAAAGCTGGAAGTGGGTGATGTGGCTCAAGTGGTAGAGCACTAGCCTTGAGCTGAAGAGGAAGAGCTGAGGGATAGTTCCCAGGCCCAGAGTTCAGGCCCCACGACTGACCAAAAAAAAAAAAAAATTCATGGATTTTCCTTCCCAGGCTGGCTTTGAACCATGATCCTCAGATCTCAGCCTCCTGAGTAGCTAGTATTACATATGTGAGCCACTGTCTGAGAGGACTGTGTTTTAAGAGTAGCCCAGAAAAAAGTTAACAAGATCATACACACACACACACACACACACACACACACACTTGTGTATGTATGAAGCCCTGGGTTCGATTCCTCAGTACTACATACTCAGAAAAAGCCAAAAGTGGCGCTGTGGCTCAAGTGTAGAGTGCTAACCTTGAGCACAGAGAGGCTCAGGGACAGTACCTAAGTCCTGAGTTCAAGCCCCAGGATTAGCTTTAAAAAAAAAAAAGGAAAATGCATGCAATTCTGTTAGGTACTAGTTGTCTTCCATATTTCATGCTAATTAAAATGTATGTGAAATTATTATTTGCAGAGCCAGAAATTGTGTAAGTTGCTTATTGAAATGAAAACATTAATGATCAAGCCTGTTTTTATGAATTATGCAATCATTAATAGAAAGAAAGGGACTTAATAAACCATTTCATGAGGGACCTACCATTAAATAATTCCTTGGAGAGGAATGTTACACTTCTTAATTAGTCCCTTAGTTACTCTTCAGGTTTTTACCATATGTCTGAGTAATTTGCAAGTAAGTAAATAGAAAATGGAAATAGAGACCACTATGAATCATATGTTGAAATAAAGTTGAAATAAAAAGGCTGTCTAAATTTTAGCATAAAAGTTAAAGCACAATAGTAGTAAAAAGGATGGACTCTGAAATCATATTTCTTGTGCTTGAATTCTGTCTCCCCTTACTAGCTGTGTGACTTTAGCCAATTTGGGGAGTAGGGTAGAATACAATCTCATTATAGCCCAGGCTGCCATTGAACTCATGATCTTCTTGCCTTAGCTACTGAGTTCTGGGATAACAGGCAAGTATTACCTTGCTCTTCTTGAGACAGTTTTTTTCTCTAGGTATACATACATATGAGTGTGTGTCTATGTGTATATTGTGTATCCCGAGGTGTGAATATGTATGTATATATTTGTGAGTATATATCTACATAATAAGTATCAGGATTCATTATCTTATTAAGATCAATTTCAAAATGGCTAAATAAATGTTTCAAATTTTATGTTTTCATAGGTGCTGGGGAGAATTTGGAAAATACAATGGAAGCCTTTGAGCAGTAAGTCTATAAGAAATTAACTTTCTCTTAAAATTATTCATTCAAATGATGGTTCATAGAGTAGAGATAATATTCACATACCAATAATAGTTATGTCTATAAAATTAATATTTTATCTGGGAGCTGGTGGCTTCTGCCTGTAATCCTTGCTGCTCAGGAGGCTGAAATCTTAGGATCACAGTTCAAAGCCAGCCCAGACAGGTGAATACTCACCTAATAGAGCTATTTAATATGACTTGAGATTGCATGAATCTGTTTGGTGTATTAAAACCAGAACATTTGACAAATCTTTAAGAAAGAAGAGGTTAGAAAGTTTTCTAACTTAGTTTTTTGTATTACAGTAGTAGAATTTCCTGCAGGAGCCAATGGCTCACACTTGGAGGTGTGAGATCTCAGGAGGCTGAGATATGAGGATTGTGGATTGAAGCCAGTCTGGGCAGGAAAGTCCATGAAACACTTATCTCCATTTGATCATCAAAAACCATAAACAGAGCTGTGGCACAAGTGGTAGAGCACTAGCATTGAGCTAAGAAGCTTAGGGACAGTTCCCAGGCCCCAAGTTCCAGGACCAGTATACACACACACACACACAAACACAAACACACACAAAAAAATTGCTTTTTTAATTTAGTTAGTTTGAAGTGTTACATAGAGTGTACATAGAGCTCCTGTTATGGAGAAACTAGATCAGAGTTTTGATTTCCAAAGCTGAAAGAAGACATCAGTAACAAGGGACATACTGTGCATAATGCTAATTAGTCTTGGAGAGAAAGAGAAAATGAAACAACTGCTACACTGGCTGCTATTTATGAATAGGATTGTGTGTCTTTGTACTCGGTAATTTTTGTACAGATCTGAACCTACACTCCTATTTTCTTCTTGCAATCTTCATGAGTGTCATTCTGATTTTTAATAAGCTAAGCTATTTTTTCTATTTATAATTGATTAATGTTTTGTATAAATGTCTTTTAGAGCACTGTGCTGAAAAGCCACAGGAGAAACAGGAGTGAAAGCTGATTCATATCATTGCTCTTTGTCTTAGAGTCAATGATTATCATTAGTCTGAAAAACAAAACAGAGAATATGAAAAAAACCAAGTGGAAAACATTGCCTGTTCATACTTAGTAAACAAAAACATTTTCTCATAATTTTGAGCCTTTTATTTTTTAGAGATGGAAGTCTTGCCCAGGATGGTGGTTTATACCTATAATCCCAGTTCAGGAAGTGAAGGCAAGAGGATCATGAGTTTGAAGCCATCCAGTTGGGCAAAGTTAACTAGACTACCTATACCTTGAAAACAAACAAAATACAAAAGGATTGGGAGCTTGGTTCACATGATAGAACACTTTGCCTATCAGGGCCTGGGTTCAATCCCCAATATAACAAATTAAAAAAAGAGAGAGAGGATCTTATTATGTTACTGAGATTGGACTGAGATTCCTGAGCACTTTGAAGCCAGCGTTATGTAGGTAATGGCAACTCCATAAATCAAGGAATTTTGTTTTCTTCCTTCATGTTATGAATATGACAGGAGTTTTTTTTTTCCTCTCCCTTTTCTTAATTTTGTGATATATACAATGGATTCTTGATTACATTCTCCCCCATGTCCTCCCTTCATTCCTCTACCCCTCTCCGCTTGGCCCAACTCTTCTCTTTGACATACCCATTTCCTCATGTTGATTTTCTTGGACTTTGATTTAGTCTTTCTCAAAGACTATACTATTTGGCCTGTCACTGGTGGCTCATAATCAACAATAGCCTGTAATCCTCGCTACTCAGGAGGCTGAGATCTGAGGATCACGGTTCAAAGCCAGTCCAGGCAGGAAACTTTGTGAGACTCTTAACTCCAATAAACCACTCAGAAAACCCGAAGTGATGCTGTGGCTCACTGATAGAGCGCTAGCCTTGAGCTGAAGAGCTGAGGGACAGCACTTAGGCCTAGAGTTCAAGCCCCACAACAAACCAAAAAAAAAAAGGATACTATTTAAGCTCTCTGTAGAGTCTATTGTATTTCAGTTAATTCATTTGTAAGCATTTGCATACCACCCAACTTGTTTGCTTATAGAAGTATAGGTACAGGGCTGGGAAGGTGGCTCAGTGGTAGAGTGCTTGCCTCGCATGCATGAGGCCCTGGGTTCGATTCCTCAGCACTACATAAGCAGAAAAAAACTGAAAGTGTCATTGTAGCTCAAGTGGTAGGGCGCTAGCCTTGAGCTGAAGAGCTGGCCCAGGCCCAGAATTCAGCCCCACGCCAACCAGAAAAAAAAAAAAAAAAGAATTATAGATACATTCTATCCACCACAAATGAGGGAAAGCATGCAACCTTTGTTTCTCTTGGTCTGTCTTACTTCACTTAATAAGATCTTTTTCCTTATAGTGGTACAATATCATTCTTCCTAACAGATGAGTAAAATCTGTTGTGTATATTTACCACATCTTCTTGATCATTCATCCATTGAGGGCCATCTGGGCTGATTCCATTGCAGCACTTGAAATAGTATTGCAAACAAACAAACAAACAAAAAAAGAGTAGTACTGCAACAAACACAATTGTGCTGGTGGCTTTACTGTAACCTTGTTTGTGTTCTATGGGTATATGCCCAGGAGTGGGATTGCTGGATCATAAGGTAGTTCTATGTTTACTTCTTTTTTAACTGTATTTTTTTTGGGGGGAGTGGTTACTGGGGATTGAACCCAGGATATTGCACTTGTTAGGCAAGTGCTTTGCAGTAAGCTACATCCCAGCCCTATTTTTTAGTTTTTTTGAGGATTCTCCATACTGCTTTCCAGAGTGGTTGAACAAGTTTAAACTTATATTCCCACAAACTAGAGTAATTACTTTGATACTAAGTTTCTCATCTGTGAAATAAAAACAATGTAATCAACAACTGGGCTTTGGTGGCTCATGTCTATAATCCTAGCTACTCAGGAGGCTGAGATCTGAAGATTGTGGTTCAGAGCCAGCCCAGGCAGGAAAGTCTGAGTCTCATCTCCAGTTAACCACCAGAAAACTGGAAGTGCCTGGTGTGGTGGCTCACTCCTGTAATCCTAATTACTCAGGAGGCTGGGTTCTGAGGATCACTGTTCAAAGCCAACCAGGACAGGAAAATCTGTGAGACTTTTTTTTTTTTTTTTTTTGGTTGATCATGGGGCTTGAACTCTGGGCCTGGGCACTGTCCCCATGTTCTTCAGCTCAAGGCTAATGCTCTACCACTTGAGCCACAGTGCCACTTTGGTTTTCTAGCGGTTTATTGGAGATAAGAGTCTCATGGACTTTCCTTCCTGCCTGAGCTGGCTTTAAACCATGATCTCAGCCTCCTGGGTAGCTGGGATTATAGACATGAGCCACCGGATGCTGGCAATTCCATGAGACTCTTATCTCCAGTAAACTACCAGAAAACCAGAAGTAGTGCTGTGGTTCAAGTGGTAGAGCTCTAGCTTGAACTGAAGAGCTCAGGGACAGCGCCCAGGCCTAGAGTTCAAGCCCCACAACCCATCAAAAAAACAACAATAACAAAAAAAACCATATCTGGTCTTCCAGTCAAAAAAAGCACATAGTATTATTTGTGAAAAAATTTAAAAGCCCGTGTCTGGTAGCATAAATGTAATTACACAGTATTTATACACATTTCTGGCCTCTCTTTCAATTTATATCTGTAAAGTTTATGTATGAAATACATGAAATAGTTTATGTATGAAATACATGAAATAGTTTCATACATATTTTCTGAAACATACTCATTTCTCCTGACATACACTTAAGGAAAGGTGGGATTGCTGAGTTACAGGGTAAGCATGTGTTATTCCTTTTAAAATGATTGTACCAAAGACTGGGAACGTACAGTGCTTTCTGAACTTGGCACTACTAAGTAAATTAATTAAGTAATTTTAAAAGATGTATATATGTTGTGTGTGTGTGTGTGTGTGTGTGTGTGACAGAGAGAGAAAGGACAGAGAGAAAGGTAGGTCTTGAACTCTGGGCCTGGGTGCTTCCCTGAGCTCTTCAACTTGCTCTAATACTTGAGCCACAGCCTACTTCTGGTGTTTTGGTGGTTAATTGGAGATAAGAGTCTCCTGGAGCAGCTGGGAAGGTGGCTCAGTGGTAGCTTGCTTGCTTGCCTTGCATGCATGAGGCTGTGGGTTGGATTCCTCAGCACCACATAAGCAAAAAGAAAAAAGCTGGAAGTGGCGCTGTGGCTCAAGTAGTAGAGCGCTAGCCTTGAGCTGAAGAGCTGAGGGACAGCACCCAGGCCCAGAGTTCAGGCCCCACGACCGGCTTCCCCTCTCCCTCCCCCCCCCCCAAAAAAAAGAGTCGCCTGGACTTTCCTGCCTGGGCTGGCTTTGAACTACGATCCTCATATCTCAGCCTCCTGAGTAGCTAGGATTATAGGAGTGAGCCACTGGTGCACAGCTTAAAAAGATATTTTACCAGTTTATACTTGCTCTAGCAGTTTGTAAGGTCTAGTTGCTGACACTCAGTGTTATGGTTTATATTTCCCTCGTGAGCTCTGATGCTGAACTTCTATTTATACATTTTATAGCCACTTGGAAATCTTTTTTTTTTTTTTCTGGGTCCGGTCATGGGCGTGAACTCGGCCTGGGCGCTGTCCCTCAGCCCTTCAGCTCAAGGCTAGCACTCTACCACTTGAGCCACAGCACCACTTCCAGCTTTTTTTTTTCTGCTTATGTGTGGTACTGAGGAATCGAACCCAGGGCCTCACGCATGCAAGGCAAGGGCTCTACCACTGAGCCACCTTCCCAGCCTTGGAAATCTTTACTTGTGAGTTGCCTGTCCTGTTCAGTTTATTTATTTTTTATAATTTTGTTGTATATTTATTTGGAGGACATTTGAGAAAGAAGGAGATATAGCAATGAAGCATGCCACTTCTTGGAGTATGCAGTATGAGTGAGAGATGTGCAGAGCTAGTATTATCACAGCTTGTGGATAAGGTAGAGTCATAAGCTAAATCACTCACCCGAGGAAATGGCAGAGGCTCCACTCTCTGTGCTCTCAAGTACACCCTCTTAGTAGTCATGATTTTGTTTTTTGTGGTCAATACTTGGGCTTGAACTCAAGGCCTAAGTACTGTTCCTTAGCTTTTTTGCTGAAAGCTGGCACTCTATCACTTGAGCCACAGTTCCACTTCTGGCTTTTTGGTAGTTAATTAGTGATAAGACTTTCTTTTCCAGGCTGGCTTCAAGCTGTGAGCCTCAGATCTCAGCCTCAGCCTAGTGAGTAGCTAGGATTACAGGGTGAGCCATTGGTGCCCAGTCTTTATCAGATCTTGTAAGTAAAAGGAACTTTACAGAGTATCTGGTCTAATGGTGTCATTTATTTTCTATTTTGAAGTTTTATAGCTGGGTGCCAGTGACTCACGCCTGTAATCCTAGCTACTCAGGAGGCTGAGATCTGAGGATCCGGTTCAAAACCAGTCCAAGCAAGGACATCTGTGGGACTCTTATCTCTGATAAACCACTCAGAAAACTGGAAATGGCACAGTGGCTCAAGTAGTAGAGCGCTAGCCTTGAGCTGAAGAGCTGAGGGACAGCGCCCAGGCCAACTTCAAGCCCCATGACCGACCAAAAAAAAAAGTTTTGTTTTATCATGCTAAGAGGTATATAACATAGCATATCAGTAACTGGCATCCAAAAAATTTCTGTATTAGTATTCTTACTGTTTATATTGGGTTGCTAGAATTAAAGATAGCTGGTTGTTGGAAAAGAATCAGTATTGAGGGGCTGGGAAGGTGGCTCAGTGGTAGAGCGCTTGCCTTGCATGCCTGAGGACCTGGGTTCGATTCCTCAGCACCACATAAGCAAAAAGAAAAAAGCCAGGAGTGGCGCTGTGGCTCAAGTGGTAGAGCGCTAGCCTTGAGCTGAAGAGCTGAGGGACAGCACCCAGGCCCAGAGTTCAGGCCCCACAACTGGGCCCCCCCAAAAAAAAAACAAAAAAAAGAATCAGTATTGAGCTGGGAATGTGGCTTAATAGGATAATGCTGGTCTAGCATGCATGAAGCCCTGGGTCTGATTCCTCAGTACCACATACACAGAAAAAGCTGGAAGTGGCACTATGACTCAGGTGGTAGAGTGCTAGCCTTGAGCAAAAGAGGCTCAGGGACAGTGCCCAGGCCTGGAGTTCAAGCCCCAGGACCAGCAAGAGGAAAAAAAAAAAAGAAAGGAGGCAATATGATTCACTTATCATAAGATTACTTAGGACATTTTTTTTCCATCAAGAAGTCATGACAGGCTGGGAAGGTAGCTCAGTGGTAGAGTGTTTGCCTAGTATGCATAAGACCCTGGGTTCGAATACTTAGCACCACATAAGCAGAAAAAGCCGGAAGTAGTGCTGTGGCTCAATTGGTAGAGTGCTAGCCTTGAGTTGAAGAGCTCAGGGACAGTGCCCAGGCCCAGAGTTCAGGCCCCACTACCGGCCAAAAAAAAAAAGAAAGAAGTCATGACAAATGGTGTTTTGAGGAGCTATTTCAGTATTATGGAATATTTTGGATTTATAACTGAATTATTACATGTATCAGATGTAATAATATACTTATGTTTCAGAATGTCATTCTCTGTTTCTTAGTGCAGTTACAATTGGAACTGATATGCTAGAACTGGACTGCCATATCACAAAAGATGAACAAGTTGTAGTGTCACATGATGAGAATCTAAAGAGATCGACTGGGGTCAATGTAAACATCTCTGATCTCAAGTATTGTGTAAGTAAAAATATATGATAAGCTAGTATCATTTTGTTTTGTTTTGTTTTGCTGCTCATGGAGTTTGCACTTGCCCTGAGCATTATCCCTGAGCTTTTGTGCTCAACGCTAGTGTTCTACCACTTCAGCCAGAGCTCTACTTCCAGCTTTTTGGTAGTTAATTGGAGATGAGAGTCTCGAGAGCCTTCTTGCCTGGGCTGGCTTCCAACCATGATCCTCAGATCTCAGCCTCCTGAGTAGCAAGGATTATAGGTGTGAGCCACCAGTGCCTGGCTATTATCGTGTGTGTGTGTGTGTGTGTGTGTGTGTGTGTGTGTGTGTGTGTGTGTGTGTGTGTGTGTGTGTGTGTGTGTGTGTGTGTGTGTGTGTGTGTGTGTGTGTGTGTGTGTGTGTGTGTGTGTGTGGTAATGGAGTTTGGACCCAAGACCTCACACTTGCTAGGCAAGTGCTGAACCACTTGAACAATGCCGCAAGCCCTTTGTGTTTTGTTATTTACTTTTCAGATAGGCTCTTACATTTTTTTCCTGGGCTGGCATGGACTGTGATCCTCCTCTCGAAGCCTCTTGGTTTCCATAGTTTTTTTTGTTGTTGCTTTTTTTTTTTTTTGGGTCCGGTCGTGGGGCCTGAACTCTGGGCCTGGATGTTGTCCCTCATCTCTTCAGATCAAGGCTAGGGCTCTACCACTTGAGCCACAGCGCCACTTCCGGCTTTTTTCTTTTTTGGTTTCCATACTTTTTGCCTTTTCCAGAATGTCATGAGCTTGGAGTGATACAGATTCCATACTTATTCTTCATATTTTAAATGTCTTCACTTATTACATGGGCATTGTCCCTTAGCTTTTTGGCTCAAATCCAGTATTCTACTACTTGGGCCACACATCTACTTCCAGCTTTTTGCTTGAAAATTAGAGATAACAGTCTCTAGGAAGCCAGGTTCAGGTAGTTCATGCCTGTAATTCTAACTACTCAGGAGGCTGAGTGATTCAGTCACTATCTGAGGATCATGATTCAAAGCCAGCCTGGGCAAGAAAGTCCATGAGACTCTTACTCCAGTAAACCACCAGAAAACTGGAAGTGGCTCTGTGACTTAAGTGGTAAAGCGCTAGTCTTGAGCTGAAGACAGCGACAGCGCCCAGGCCCAGAGTTCAAGCCCCACAACTGACAAAAAAAAAGTCTCTAGGAGCCAGCAACCAGTAGTTCATGCCTATAATCCTAGCTACTCAAGAAGGTGAGATCTGAGGATCATCATTCAAAGCCAGACTGGGCAGGAAAGTCCAGTTCTGGGAAACTTTTTTTTTTTTTTTATTGTGAAAATACTGTACAGAGGGGTTACAATTACATGGGTCTGGGAGACTCTTATCTCCATTAAACCACCAGAAAAACAGGAGTAGAGCTGTGGCTCAGAGTGGGAGAGGGCTAGCCTTAAGCAAAAGAACTCAGGTCAAGGATAGCACCTAGGCCCTGAGTTTAAGCCCCAGGACCCACCAACCAAAAAATTTAAAGTCTCGGGATTTGTTTCCAGAGCTAGCTTCAAACCATGGTCTTCAGATCTCAGCATTGTGAGTAAGATTATAGGCATAGGCATTAGTTATTTTTAACTAATCTTCCACTATTAGATATTGGACAAAAGAAAGAATTACATCTTGTTTTACTGTGAATGTTATTAGTCAATAGACCAAGTCTTGCTAACTTATAGGTCCAATTTTAATTAGCATTTATTTGGTTATAAATATATAAAAATATATTTGAAGATATTTCTGGAATTTGGAGGTATGATTCAAATAGTATAGCACCAACCTTGTATGGAAGAGCCAAGTAAGAGTGCAAGGAGGGCTGGGAAGGTGGCTCAGTGGTAGAGCGCTTGCCTTGTATGCATGAGGCCCTGGGTTCGGTTCCTCAGCACCACATAAGCAAAAAGAAAAAAAAAAGCCAGAAGTGGCGCTGTGGCTCAAGTGGTAGGGCGCTAGCCTGGAGCTGAAGAGCTGAGAGATAGCACCCAGGCTCAGAGTTCAGGCCCCACGACAGGACCAAAAAAAAAAAAAAAAAAGAGTGCAAGGACTTAGCCAGTACTGGTGATTCATGACTGTAATCCTAGCTACTTAGGAAGGTAGAGAATCACAGTTCAAAGCAAGTGCAAATACTTGAGTTCAAGCCCCAGCATTGCTCCCCCTCCCAATAAAAAAAGTGTGGTTTTATTTCTGTATGGCTATTACTTTTTTTTAATTTGAATTGTCTATTACAATTTTTGGGTCTGGTCCTGGGGCCTGAACTCTGGGCCTGGGCGCTGTCCTTCAGCTCTTCAGCTCAAGGCTAGCGCTCTACCACTTGAGCCACAGCGGCACTTCCGGCTTTTTTTCTTTTTGCTTATGTGGTGCTGAGGAATCGAACCCAGGGCCTCAGGCATGCAAGGCAAGTGCTCTACCACTGAGCCGCCTTCCCAGCCCCTACAGGCATATTTCTTATTCAAGTTTCTCATATTATTGAGAAATGGCCTGTATTAATTAACTAATTAATTTAGGGGGCTGGTCTTGTGCCTTGAACTTAAGCCTGGGCCCTATCCTGAGCTTCTTTGGCTCAAGGCTAACACTCTGCCACTCCTGCTTTCTGGTGTTTAATTGGAGATTAGAGTCTCATAGTATGGCCTGGATCCTCAGATCTCAGCTTCCTGAATAACTAGAATTATAGGAATGAACCATGGCCACCTGGCAGTTTTTTTTTTTTGTTGTTGTTTTTAAGAAGCAAGATGTTAAAATATTTTATTTAAAAAGAATTTTTTAGAGCCTTGGGCTGGTGGCTGATGCCTTTAATCCTACCTCCTCAGGAGGCTGAGATCTGATTTCAAAGCCAGCCCAGGCAGGAAAGTCCATAAAACTCTTATCTCCAATAAACCACTAGAAAACCAGAAGTGGCACTGTGGCTCAAGTGGTAGAGCACTATTCTTGAGCTGAAGGGCTGACAGATAGCACCCATGCCCAGAGTTCAAGCCCCATGACCAACAAATATATATATATATATATTTTTTTTTTGAGAGCTAACTATTTTATATCTTATCTTTTAAAGGAGCTCCCACCTTACCTTGGTAAACTGGATGTCCCATTTCAAAGAGGTAACATTTCTTATTTATAGCTTAAACACTGATAGTAAAGTATATTCATTTATGTTAAGAAGCACGCGTGTGTGCGCGCACGCATGTGTGTGTATTTGTGTGTATGTATTGTCAAGGTGATGTACAGATGAGTCACAGTTACATAAGTAAGGTAATAAATACATTTCTTGTCAAACTTGTTACCCCCGCCTCATTTTTCCTAATTTCCTTCTCCTCTGCCCCATGCCCCCCTAAGTTGTACAGATCATTTCCAACAAATTGTCTTGTGAATATCACTGATGCATTGGCTCCCACTTGTCCTTTGTCTCACCATTCTGTTGTTTCCCTTCCCTTCCCTAATTCAGATAAACATTTATACAACAACAGGGTACCAAAATCAAATACAGTGACAATAGGGGGATAAACCATAGGTAGAATGTGTGTTCTTATTTATTTTTATTTATTTATTTTTTTGGTCGTGGGTCTAGGTGCTGTCTCTCAGCTCTTCAGCTCATGGCTAGCACTCTACCACTATAGCCACAGTGCCACTTCCAGTTTTCTGGTGGTTTATTGGAGATGAGTCTCACAGACTTTCCTGCTGGGCTGGCTTTAAACCATGATCCTCAGATCTCAGCCTCCTGAGTAGCTAGGATTACAGGCCTGAGCCATCAGTGCCCTGAGCTTCTTTTACTCAAGGCTAGTACCCTACCACTTGAGCTACAAGGCCACTTCCGGGTTTTTCTGTTTATGTGATACTGAATCGAACCCAGGTCTTCTTGAATGCTAGGCAAGCATCCTACCACTAAGCCACATTCCCAGCCCTGATTTTGGTCTTTATTGCTCTTGATGAATAATGGTACTTCACTTCCTCTTCCCTTCCCTCCCTCTCTCCTTCCTTGCCTTCCTTTCCTCTTCCCTCTCTTCCCTTCTTCTTGTCCCACTTCCCAATTTTTTTGAGACAAGGTCTTGCTATCTAGCCCAGGCTGACTTTGAATATTCACTCAACTTTGAATATTCACTCCTCTTGCCTCCCAAGTGCTGCAATTAAAAGCATGTGCCACCACGCCCAGCAATATTGAATACTTTTTTAATGCAACTATAGGCTTTGTATTATTTGTAATATTTGTCCTATTTTATAGGTTATCGCTTTATTGCATGTTTTCTTTTGTAGTAAAGGTTCTGTTGATCCTATATTTCAAAAGACACTGGAATGTTGACCAGCATAGGCCTAGTGATGCCGCATACTGGTAGAGTACTTGCACAAGGCCCTAGGTTTGCTTCCTAGTACCACAAATAAGTAAAATAAAGTTGTTCAATGTAATTTTACAAAGCCTGAACTAAGAGTTATTTAATTCTGATGTTTATTTGGTTTTGCCCTCCAAGTGTAAGTATCATTAAGTTATGTTGGTTTAAGAAAACACATTTTGCCGGTGCCGGTGGCTCACGCCTGTAATCCTAGTTACTCAGGAGGCTGAGATCTGAGGATCACAGTTCAAAGCCAGCCTGGGGAGAAAAGTCCATGAGACTCTTTTTTTTTTTTTTTTTTTTTTTGAGGGGGGGTCCAGTCATGGGGCCTGAACTCTGGGCCTGGGCGCTGTCCCTTAGCTCTTCAGCTCAAGGCTAGCACTCTACCACTTGAGCCACAGTGCCACTTCCAGCTTTTTTCTTTTTGCTTATGTGGTGCTGAGGAATGGAACCCAGGGCCTCAGGCATGCAAGGCAAGCGCTCTACCACTGAGCCACCTTCCCAGCCCCCATGAGACTCTTTATCTCCAATAAACCACTAGAAAACCGGAAGTGGTGCTGGGGCTCAAGCGGTAGAGTGCTTGCCTGAGCTGAAGAGCTCAGGGAAAGTGCCCAAGCCCAAAGTTCAAGCCCCACGACCGATAAAAAAAAATAAGAAAGAAAACATATTTTTTATTTTAGTAGTTTATATTTATACCTGCCAAGGTTTCAAGGGAAGAAAACTCTTTTATATAGCCCTCATAAAGTCATAAAACTTTTGAATGTGAAGAGACCTTTGAGTTTAATCTAATCTTCTCTTCTGTTATAAATAAGGAAATGGAAGTCTAAAGATGGAAATTAGGCTAGGAACATGGCTTAGTGGTAGAGTGCTTGCCTAGCATGCACGAAGCCCTATGTTCGATTCCCAGTACCACATAAACAGAAAAACCAGAAGTGCCGCTTGTGGTCAAGTGGTAGAATGCTAATCTTGAGCAAGAGAAGCTCAGGGACAGAGTCAGGCCCTGAGTTCAAGCTCCAGGATTGGCAACAACAAAAAAAAAAGATGGAAATCAACTTGGTCAAGGTCATACAACATGTAAATGACAGAGCTAGAATTTGAAACTAGGTTCCCCTTATAGGCCAGTGTCCAACTTCTTCAGTACAGTCCTTCCCTCTGGACCATCCATCCTTCATTGCTATTTATAATATACCCTTTGTGCTCTGGTTTTAGGTAACTATGAAGAATATAAGCTTTTATTTAGGTTGCCTTTGGTCTTTAATTGATTTTAGATAAATCTCAAAGGAGAAGGTTACTGTACTTGAAACTGGTAAATATGGAGTACCATAAACACAACTCAGATGAGTCAGAATGTTTATTCTGGTTTTTTTTTCTCTTTCTCCTATTCCCCTGCTCAGAATTCTTGTTTAGTTTTCTTTAAACTAACCTCTCTTAGGAGAATATGAATGTCAAGGCTTTTGCTCTCTTTGTGGTTGACACTTTATTGGAGAAGTAATTAAATGAATTAAATGTTTTCTCTCTTTTTTTCTTTCCTTTCCTTTCTTCCTTTTTATTTTCTGTATCAGAGATAAAACTCAGAACATTGTACTTGCTAGGCAACACTCTATCACTTGTGCCACACCCCCAATGACCTATATTACAGTCGTGTGTGGCTATGTGTGTGTCACTTAGCTGGTCCAAAGTTTGTTTGACCTTTCTCTCTCATTCTGTCTCTGTCTCTTGATCACTTGCTCGCTTTGGCTCGCTTGCTCACTGTGGCTTGGCTTTCTTTTTCTGGAACCTCTCTTGGGGTTTGGCCTGGGCACTATATAGAGCTTTTTTGTTCAAGATTAGCACATTTATCACTGGAACTATACTCCACTTCCAGCCTTTTGGTGATTAATTGGAGATAAGCATCTCTAGGGAGCCAAGTGCCCGTGGCTCATGCTCTCAGATCATGCCTGTAATCCTAGCTACACAGGAGGCTGAGATCTGAGGATTCTTGTTCTAAGCACCACTTTCAGCTTTTTTTTTTTGCTTATGTGTTGCTGAGGAATGGAACCCAGGGCCTCAGGCATGCAAGGAAAGCGCTCTACCACTAGCCACCTTCCCAGCCCTCCTTGAGACTCTTATCTCCAATTAACCACCTGAAACTGGAAGTAGCACTGTGGCTCAAATGGTAGAACACTTGCCTTGAGCTGAAGAGCTCAGGGACAGCACCCAGGTCCAGAATTCAAGCCCCAGGACCAAAAAAAAAAAAAAAAAGTCTTAAGGGCTTTACTGCCTGGGCTGGCTAGTTTCAAACTGTGAGAGCCATCCACTCCCAGCTTTGCATGTGACATTTTTCTAAGTTGATCTTTTCATATAACTTGCTATTTCCCAATTGTAATTACTTTGACTATATTAGTTCTTCTATAGTTAGAACACAATAAAATTTCATTTAGCTAAAATTGCTTTGACCAAATGGAACTTGCTGCAGTGATGGGAAAGTTCTATTTTTGTTCTTAGTGGTATGTTGTAGCCAATTGCTACATGTCTTTTGAGTATTTGAAATGTGGCTACTGGGTTGGCAGGGTCCTGCTTAGCAAGTACAAGGTCCTGAGTTCAAACCTGAGTACTGCCAAGGGAGGGAGGGAGAGAAGGAGGAAGGGAAGCAGGGAGGAAAGAAGGAAGGAAAAGAAAAGAGAGCTGTGGCTCAAGTGGTAGAACATTAGCCTTGAGCACAAAAGATCAGGGACAGCACCCAGAACCTGAGTTCAATCACACACACAAAATTTATTTATTCACAAATTAATGGAACTAAAGTTTTGGATTGAAGGGGAAAATTTAATAATATATATTTTTTTAACTCAAGACCTGGGTGTTGTCCCTGAGCTCTTTTTTTTTTTTTTTGGGGTCTGGTCGTGGGGCCGGAACTCTGGGCCTGGGCGCCGTCCCTCAGCTCTTCAGTTCAAGGCGAGCGCTCTACCACTTGAGCCACAGCGCCACTTCTGGCTTTTTTCTTTTTTGCTTATGTGGTGCTGAGGAATCGAACCCAGGGCCTCAGGCATGCAAGGCAAGCGCTCTACCACTGAGCCACCTTCCCAGCGCCTCCCTGAGCTCTTTTGCTCAAGGCTAGCACTCTATCACTTTGAGCCACTTCCAGTTTTTGAGGGGTTAATTAGAGATAAGAGTCTCATGAAAACTTTTCTGCACAGGCTGGCTTCAAACTTCGATCCTCAGATCTCTGCCTGTGGAGTAGCTAGGATTATAGGCATGAGCCACCAGCACCTGGACTTGTCCTTTCTTGACTTTTCTGGCCTCACCTAGAAACCTCACCCTTGGGTGACCCTTCCTGAAAGAGTAATACTCCTGGTGAAAGCCTCAAAGCTAAGCATCAGTCTAGAGCCACCAGTGCCTGGCCTGCAATGTTTCTATAATATATATTGTATATTATGTGCCTGATTAAAGGCAAAGAGAAGACTATGAAAACCTGGTGGGGTGGTGCACATCTGCAATCTCAACTACTTGGGAAGTGGAGGCAAGAGGATCATGAGTTTGAGACCAACCTAGGAAAATACCCTATCAAGACAAACTACAGCCGGGAGCTGTTGGCTACACCTGTAAACCCAGCCAATCATCAAAATAAGCCAGGCGCCGGCGGCTCATTCCTGTAATCCTAGCAGTTCAGGAGGCTGAGATCTGAGGATCATGGCTCAAAGCCAGCCTGGACAGGAAAGTCCATGAATCTCTTATCTCATATAAACCGCTAGAAAACAGGAAGTGGCACTGTGGGTCAAGTGGTAGGGCTCTTGCCTTGAGCTGGAGAACTGAGGGACAGTGCCCAGGCCCAGGGTTCAAACCCCACAATTGACCAAAAAAAAAAAAAAAATCATCAAAATAGGGCCAGGTACAATCACGCCTGAAATCTTATCCACTCAGGAGGATGAGATCCAGAGGATCACAGTTTGAGACCATCCTGATTTTTAAAGTTCAGAGGAGGGCTAGGAAAGTGGCTCAGTGGTAGAGTGCTTGCCTCTCATGTGTGAGGCCCTAGGTTTGATTCCTCAGCAACACATAAACAGAAAAAGCCAGAAGAGCGCTGTGGTTCAAGTGGTAGAGCACTAGCCTTGAGCTGAAGAGCTCAGGAAAGCACCTTGGTCCAGAGTTCAAGCCCCAGGCCAAAGAAAAAAAAAGTTCATAAGATTCAGTCTCCAGCCAGGCGCTGGTGGCTCACGCCTGTAATCCTAGCTACTCAGGAGGCTGAGATCTGAGGATCACAGTTCAAAGCCAGCCCAGGCAGGAGAGACCTTGAGACTCCTATCTCCAATAAACCACCAGAAAACCGGAAGTGGCGATGTAGCTCAAGTGGTAGAGCGCTCACCTTGAGCTGAAGAGCTGAGAGACAGTGCTCCCGCCCAGACCCAGAGTTCAAGCCCCACGACCGACCAAAAAAAAAAAAAAAAAAGATAATCAAAATAATCAGCAAAAAGCAGAGCTGGATTGGGGCACTAATGACTCATGTTTATAACCCTAGCTACTGAGGAGGCTGAGATCTGAGAAGCACAGCTTGTTTTGTTTGCTAGTCCTGGGGCTTGAACTCAGGGCCTGGGCACAGTCCCTGAGCTTCTGTGATCAAGGCTAGTACTCTACCACTTGAGCCACAGAGGCATTTCTGGCTTTTTCTGTTTATGTGGTACTGAGGAATCGAACCCAGAGGCAAGCACTCTGCCACTAAGCCACATTCCCAGCCTCTTAGGATCACAATTTGAAGCAGGTTCAAGTCCACCAGCACCCAAATAAATAGATAAAAGACCAGGTTAAAATCTATAGGCACACTATATCAGAAATAAATTATGTCTCATTTTGTGGATGTTATATATTAATGAATGCATACTTTAATTTTTCTAATTATTAAAAAAGTTCTTTTTAAAATGAAAGTTCTTTTAAAAATCTTGCCTTCTCAGCATGCCAATGTGAAGGAAAGGATACCCGAATTCCATTACTGGAGGAAGTTTTTGAAGCCTTTCCTAACACCCCCATTAACATCGATATCAAAGTCAACAACAATACGCTGATTAAGAAGGTACTCAAATCATTGCCTCTTCTTGGGCTTTGGCATCTTAGTTCACAAAGTGCTGTACAGATAGATTCTGTTCAATGAAATAGGATCCTCGGGATCAGCATTGTTTAAAATACTGCCCTAATAGAGGTCATTTTCCTCTAAGTAGAGTATTTCTTAGTATTTCTTAAGTGAGTTCACAGTTTCAGTCCTGGAAATATGCTCTTTTTTTTTTTTGGTCTGTTGGATATAGGGCTTGAACTCAGGCCTGGGCACCGTCCCTGAGCTCTTTTTCTCAAGGCGAACACTCTGCCACTTGAGCCACTACATCACTTCTGGCTTTTTCTGCTTATGTGGTGCTGAAGAATGGAGCCAGGGCCTCATGCATGCAAGGCAAGCACTCCACCATGGAGCCACCTTCCCAGCCCTTTTTTTTTTTGAACTCTGGGCCTGGTTGCTGTCCCTCAGCTCTTCAGCTCAAGGCTAGTGCTCTACCACTTGAGCCACAGCACCACTTCTGGTTTTCTGGTAGTTAATTGAAGAGTCTCATAGACTTTCCTGCCTGAGCTGACTTAGAACCGTGATCCTCAGATCTCAGCCTCCTGAGTAGCTAGACTTATAGGCATGAGCCACAAGCACCCGGCATTCAAATAACTTTTGTGATGGTAAATGTAAATAATTTTGCATTAACTAAAATAATCTCAATTTATTTAGCAGTTTTTCCAAAGTTTTATACTGTCTATTGACATATAATAGATTGTAATCTGTTTTTAAAATAATGGGGTTGGAGTCATCGCTCTGGTGACACAGTGCCAGCCAATTTGATCATTAGCAAAAATGTCAAATATTGAGTTTGAGTACTAGTTTCAGACAACAGTAACTGAAATGAAATGAAATGAAATAAAATGTTACACATAGACTTACAAATGGGCATATGCATAAAACTTTGAATTTTCACATATAGGTTTCAGAACTGGTGAAGCAGTATAAGCGAGAACAAATGACAGTGTGGGGTAATGCCAGTTATGAAATTGTAGACAAGTGCTACGAGGAGGTAAGCTTCCAGAACAATATCTTTGATGTTATATAGCTAGAAATCAGTCAAAATGGTATTTTTTTTAAAAAAATCTGTCTTTATAAGCTTGCATATAAATGGAAACCAACTAGCCAGATGTATACTTCTAAGATAATGGATTTAGACCTTGTAATTTAAATTCAGTATAATCAGACTAGTTCACAGAATGTTTTTCACATTCTAATATTGTTTGTCAACATTTTATGAGCATTAGAAGACAAAATAAGAGGGCTGGGAAGGTGGCTCAGTGGTAGAGCACTTGCCTTGCATGCCTGTGGTCCTGGGTTCGATTCCTCAGCACCACATAAGCAAAAAGAAAAAAGCCGGAAGTGGCGCTGTGGCTCAAGTGGTAGAGCGCTAGCCTTGAGCTGAAGAACTGAGGGACAGCGCCCAGGCCCAGAGTTCAGACCCCACGACCAGACCCCCCCCCCAAAAAAAAGACAAAATAAGATACTATCTTATAATATCTATTTTTAATAGATAATTGAATTTTTTGTGTAATTTTGAATTAAAGTTGGTTTTGTTGTGGTTGTCATTGTCATTGATTGTGGGGCTTGAACTCAGCCCCTGAGCACTGTCCTTGAGCCTCTTTATGTTCAAAACTAGTGCTCTACCAATTGTACCAGCTCCACTTCTGTTTATTTTTTGTTTTGTTTTGTTTTGTTGGGGTTTTTTTTGGCCAGTCCTGGAGCTTGAACTTAGGGCCTGAGCACTGTCCCTGAGCTTCCTTCTCTCAAAGTCAGCACTGTACCACTTGAGCCACAGTACCACTTCTGGCTTTTTCTGTTTATGTGGTACTGAGGAATCGAACTCAGGGCTTCATACATGCTAGGCAAGCACTCTACCACTAAGCCACATTCCTAGCCCCCCACTTCTGGTTTTTTGAGTGGTTAATTAGAGATAAGAGTCTCATGATAAGAGTCTCTGCCAGACCTGGCTTTGAACAATGATCGTCAGATCTCAGCCTCCCGAGTAGCTAAGATTACATGCATGATCCACCACCAGCCCCTGGCTGAATTAAAGTAGTTTCTCAACTTCTTTCCCTGTCCACCAAACAGAGTTAATCAAATTAAGCCAAGAGTATGATCAGCTGGTAGTTCATAAAGCAAGACCATTCACTCACTGAAAATCTTCTGGTTGGAGGAAGTAGGTTTATAAAAAATAACAAGATATTTTGAAAAAGTTCCATAAGCAAATTTAGTCAACAGAATTTGAAATTCAAATAGTTAAAAAAAATCTTAAGCAGCTGGGAAGGTGGCTCAGTGGTAGAGCGCTTGCCTTGCATGCCAGAGGCCCTGGGTTCGATTCCTCAGCACCACATAAGCAAAAAGAAAAAAGCCGGAAGTGGCGCTGTGGCTCAAGTGGTAGGGCGCTAGCCTTGAACTGAAGAGCTGAGGGACAGTGCCCAGGCCCAGAGTTCAGGCCCCATGACCAGACCCCAAAAAAAAAAAAATCTTAAGCATTGGAGGCTTTGTTATTTTTTTTTTTAGAACAAGGGTGATACCATGGTGTAGAAGAAATATCACAACACATGCAATAATTCTCTAATTATTTTAGGACAATCCTTCCTTCCCAGTAGAAGAAAAATTATCTTAGTCAGCACCATTACAATTCACAGTGCAACAGAGGCCCTCATAAAAACAGTTAAGTTTCATTTATGTGCAGAAGGTTCTGTGAGATCTCAGGTAATTTGTACAAAAAGGAGTAAACAAGGGATACAGCTTAGTTGTAGATCCCTTGTAGATCTCATGCCCAAAGCCCCGACTTTTCCATAACTAATACTTGTCCAATGGTACTTTCTATTTTATCACAAGCAAGATAATCTGTTGGAGGTCTCATCATGTCACATTATCATCACAAAGATTTTCATGTGAAAAGGGCTGGGGTTTTAAAACATTTTTCTAGGGCTGGGAAGGTGGCTCAGTGGTAGAGCGCTTATCTTGCATGCATGAGGCCCTGGGTTCCATTCCTCAGCACCACATAAGCAAAACAAAAAAAAAGCCGGAAGTGGTGCTGTGGCTCAAGTGGCAGAGCACTAGTCTTGAGCTGAAGAGCTGAGGGACAGCGCCCAGGCCCAGAGTTCAGGCCCCACGACCGGACCCCAAAAAAGTAAAATAAAATAAACATTTTTCTAGTAAGCACAAAGCCCTGAGTTCAGTGGCCCATACTGCCAAAAATTGCTGGGTACCAGATGCTCATGGCTCATGACTGTAATCCTGTTCATTTTCTCAGTCAGGAAACTCCTATCTATAATAAACTAGTCAGAAAAAGGAAGTAGCACTGTGGTTCAAGTGGTAGAGTGCGGGCTGAGAAGGTGGCTCAGTGGTAGAGCACTTGCTTTGCATGCATTCAATTCCTCAGCACCACATAAGCAGAAAAAAAAAAGCCAGTGCCTTTGATTCAAGTGGTAGAGCACTAGCCTTGAGCTGAAGAGCTGAGGGACAGTGTTCAGGCCCATGACCGGACCCCCCCCCCAAAAAAAAAAAACAGCTGTCTTGTCAAGTGGTAGAGTGCTAGTATTGAGCAAAAGAAGCTCAGGGGCAGTGCCCAGAACCAGAATTAAAGCCCCAAGACTAACATAAAAAAAAAAAAATTGCTAGTGGCTCATGTCTATAATCCTAGTTACTCAGGAGGATCTCAAGAGTAGCTAAGTCTGAGGATCTCAGTTCAAAGCCAGCTTGGGCAGGAAACAGACACCAGTGTCTCATAAATATAATTCTAGCTATTCCAAAGTCAACCCAGGAAGAAAAGTCCAAGATACTCTTTTTTTTTTTTTTCCAAGATACTCATCTTTAATAAAACCACCAGAAAACCAGAAGTGGCGCTGTGGCTGAAGTGATTGAGTGGTTGTCTTGAGCTGAAGAGCTCAGGGGACAGCGCCCAGGCCCAGAGTTCAAGCGTTATGACCTACCAAAAAAAAAAAAAAGCCAGAAGTAGAGCTATGGCTCAAGTGGTATAGTGCTGACCTTGAGAACAAAAGCTCAAAGATAATACTCAGACCCTTATTTCAGGCCCTAGGACTGGCACATGCATGCACACACACACACACTAATATAAATAAATAAATAATGAATAAGGGTAATATATGTGTCAGAAAGGATTTTAAAAAACACCTGGATACCTGGATTTCTTGTAAGTTTACTATTAGGGAATGTAAAACAGTACAGCCTCTGAGGGCTCAGATTTTAGAAGTGCACACAAAGTTTCTGCTTATATTTTATATTTGATCCATCCATTACATAGCTGAAAGATGACTGTTTACAACAGTATTGATGTGTATATATCTGTGGACTCACATCTATATCTTTTTATCTGTCTATCTTATTTATCTTTTTTAGTACAGGTTAGAACTCAGGGACTTGCATTTGCCAGGCACACCTCTAGACCCAGCTACATATATTTTAAACAATCATTGAATATTCAATAAACAGATTATTGAGTATTTTATATATTAGTCTCTTAATTTTGTTCTGTATGTTTAGTCTATAGTTAGTAATTCTGTGGTCAACATGCAGAGTCTATTGTGAAAGCAGAGGGAATGGAGTAGAGAAACTTTAGTAGCATTAATTATATAACAAAGCTCCCAGGTAGAACCATTCTTACATATTACGGATTAGCCATTTCTAAGTCATTTATTCTAAAGGGATAATCATAATTCAGAGAGTGCTTACAATAGATAACAAAATACAGTCTTGGGAAATCTTGAGGCTTATTAAAAGAATCCTCTTTGAGTAGTTGTTGTAAATTAACATGTGGTATTGTTTGTCTTCTAGAATTCAGATATTCCTATACTCTTCAGTCTGCAACGTGTTCTGCTCATCCTTGGCCTTTTCTTCACTGGCCTCTTGCCATTTGTGCCCATTCGAGAACAGTTTTTTGAAATCCCAATGCCCTCTATTCTATTGAAGTAAGTGATTATCCAGTTTTTACCAATTACCAATTGCAGAAGAACAAAGATAAAGACTTGTTAATAGTTAATATCAATATTGGTAAAGTTTGTCTGTTTTGTGCTGGGGATTGGACCCAGGACCTTTTACATGCTAAGCGTGCACCCTATAATACTGTGCCCTAAGTCTTTGCTAAGGTTTGGATATGGTTTATCTCATCTGAAAATCATGTTTGGGCTTAGTACTCAGGGATAACAGTGTTGACTGGTAGTGCAACCTTTTAATAGGCCACAAGTTCCTTAAGAGAGATCAGATTAAGCCTTTCAGGAGGGAGGGAGTTCTTAGTATTCCCTTGATTTTCTAGATTATGTATACCTTTCTTCTTCTGCATATGCCCACTGCCCCAAGGAAGCCCTTACAAGAAGCAAACCACCTATCAATGCTATACTCTTGGACTTCTAGAACTGTGAGACAAATGAACTACTCTCCCCCTCTTTTTATCTATTTTATTTTTATTTTTTTTCCAGTCCTAGGGTTTGAACTCAAGGCCTGGGTGCTGTCCCTTAGCCTCTTTGTGCTCAAGGCTAGCGCTCTACCTCTTGAGCCACAGCACCATTTCTGGCTTTTTCTGAGTAGATTATTGGAGATAAGACTCTCAAGGACTTTCCTGCTCTGGCTGGCTTTGAACTGTGATTCTTATATCTCTCAGCGCTCTCCTGAGTAGCCAGGATTACAGGCATGAGCCACCAGTGCCTGGTTCCTCACACACACCTCTTTTTTGTAGTATGGAGTATTGAACCCACTGTCTTGAGATACTAGTCGAGCCCTCTACCACTTCATCCATGCTCCCACTCATTTTGTTTGTTTTGTTTAATTTTGCTTGTTTGTTTTTGAGACAGGATCTTACTTTGCTCATGTTGGCTTCACACTCAAGATCCTCCTGCCTCCACCTTTGAAGTAGCTTGGATTACAGGTATATGCCACTACCCTTGGCTATAAAACTCTTTTCTTTGTAAATCACCTAGCCAAGCCAGGCATCATGACATGTACCCTTATAATCTGAGCACTCTGGAAGCTTAGACAGGAAGGTTTACTGGTTTGAGGCTGGCCTACATACTATAGACAACCTAGGCTTCATAGAAAAACCCTGTCTCAAACCAGCTCCTCACTCGAGGCTGAAGCTCTACCACTTGAGCCACAGCTCTGCTTCTGATGGGCTGAAGAGTCTCACAGACTTTCCTGCCCAGGCTGACTTTGGTGACCCTCAGGTCTGAGCCTCTGAGTAGCTAGGAGTAAGAGCCAATCAACTTTAAAAGCATAGGCTTAGTTGGGTGCTGGTGGCACAGGCCTGTAATCCTAGCTACTCAGGCTGAGATCTGAGGATCAAGGTTCAAAACCAGCCAGGGTAGGAATGTCTTAAATGACTTGTATCTCCAATTAACCACCAAACAGCCAGAAGGAGAGCTGTGGCTCAAATGGTAGAGTAGTCTTGAGCATAAAAGTTCAAGGACAGAGCCTCCACTTGAGTTCAAGCCCCAGGACTGGCACACACAAAAAAGTATAGGGCTGGTCTGGGAATGTGGGTCAGTGGTAGAGTGCTTGCTTAACATGCATGAAGCCCCGTGTTCAATTCTTTAGTACCACATAAACAGAAAAAGCTGGAAGTGGCACCGTGGCTCAAATGGTAGAGCCCTAGTCTTGAGCTGAAGAACAACTCAGAGACAGTACCCAGTCCCAGAGTTCAAGCCCCATGGTTGGCAAAAACAAAACAAAATAAGGTATAGGGCTAGTTCTTCAAATGTTAAACGGGAAAGAAAAACAAGTGGCAGGTTTTATGGCCCATACCTGCAATCCCAACACCCAATAAACTGAGGCAGGGGATAATGAGTTCAAAGTCAGCGTGGCCTATATAGCAAGACCCTGTTTCAAAAAGAATTATGCATAAGAGCCGGGCAATGGTGACTCACGCCTGTAATCCTAGCTACTCAGGAGGCTGAGATCTGAGGATCGAGGATCAGCCGGGGCAGTAAAGTTTGTGAGACTCTTATTTCCAATTAACTGCAGGGGGGGGAGGGATGGGGGATGGGGAGGGGGAGGGGGGGTCTTGCTAGAAAACTGGAAGTGGTGTGGCTCAAGCGGTAGAGCGCTCGCCTTGAGCTGAAGAGCACAGGGACAGTGCCCAAGCCCAGAGTTCAAGCCCCACGACCAACAAAAAAACCCAAAAAACAAAAAGGAAAATATGCATAACTAATGTAAGCTAATTTTAAAAAAAAAGAAAATTAAAATTATAAAACCAACATTAAAAACATGAATTAGGGCTAAGAAGGTGGCTCAGTGGCAGAGCGCTTGCCTTGCATGCCTGAGGCCCTGGGTTCGATTCCTCAGTACCACATAAGCAAAAAGAAAAAAGCTGGAAGTGGCGCTGTGGCTCAAGTGGTAGAGCGCTAGCCTTGAGCTGAAGAGCTGAGGGACAGCGCCCAGGCCCAGAGTTCAGGCCCCATGACCGGACCCAAAAAAAAAAAGAACAACATGAATTAAACTGGACACTAGTGGCTAACGCCTGTAATCCTAACTACTCAGTAGGCTGACATCTAAGGATCACAGTTTGAAGCCAGCTTGGGCAGAAAAGTCCTTGAGACTCCATCTCCAATTAAATAGCAAAAATGCTGGACTAAGCTGGTAGCTCATGTTTGTAATCATAGCTGTTCCGGAGGCTGAGATTTGAGGACCACTGTTTGAAGGCAGCCCATGCAGGAAAATTGTGCGACTCTTATATCTAATTAACCAGCAAAAATCCAGAAGTAGAGCTATGGCTCAAGTGGTAGAGTGCCAGCCTTGTGCAATAAACTAAGGGACAGTGTCCCTGTGTGTAAGCCCCAGGACCAGCATATACACGTACACACCCATACATACAAAAGTTAGACTAGAGATGTTGCTCAAGTGGTAGTGTGCTAGCTGTGAGCAAACAAACAAAAATGCTGCTGCGTGCTGGTGGTTCACACCTGTAATCCTAACTACTTAGGAGGCTAAATTTTGAGGATCGAGGTTGAAAGCCAGTCCAGCCAGGCAAGTCCTTGAGACTCTTATCTCCAATTAACCATCAGAAAACCAGAAGTGGCACTGTGGCTCCACGTGGTTGAGTGCTAGCCTTGAGCAAAAATGTTCAGAGATACTGCCCCAGGCCCTGAGTTCAAGCTCCTTGACAACAAAAACAAAAAAACTGAGTTAGAGCCCAAAGTCCTAAGTACAAGCAGTATCTGTACATGCACTATCAGTACGGACAGTATCAGTGTTTTTACTCCATAGTACAGTTTGATTGGTTCTTTAAATATATCACATAATTAATTATATCAGACAAAACAGAAGAAAGAAGTATTTTCCAAAAGAAAGAGATAAGACATGGCTGAAGAAGTGATTCAAATGGTAGCAATCTAGAGATTCTCTGTTCAAACCCTGCCTCACTAAAAGAAAAAAGGGGGGGGGGAAGTGGAGAGACAGAAACAGAGACAGAGAGATGACAGAGAGCAAGGAACCTGGTCTCAGGAACATTAATTCTTTATTTTTTTTTTTAACCCTTGATTAGTGTTAGCAAAGAGTTAGCTTCAGGTGGGTAGAAATAACTAAATTTATATGATTTTCATCCCTTTGCAAGAGGCTTTAGAGAACATCCTATAATCAGGTACTGTTTGCATTTTGAACTTGTCTTACCATATTGATACATTCCTGTGTTTCTAATTTGTAATTCAAACTTTTATCTTACCTTAGGCTAAAAGAACCACATACCATGTCCAGAAGTCAAAAGTTTGTCATCTGGCTTTCCGATGTGTAAGCATTTTAAATTTCTTAAAATACAAGTTTCTGCTGTAGCTATTTTAAGTGCTATATTTTACTTTAGTGCAAGCTTTCCACATGTCACTTGTAAGAAGGACTTGTTGGGCACCTACTATGTAAGCAAATATGTGTGACTCATTTTAGATGAGCATAATTACTAGTCACTAAACCATAGAGGAATTTCAATATATAACCTTATCCAGCTTCATGAGAAAACTGAGCACCCATTCACCCACTTAAATGGCTTACTTGGGATTATGTAGCTACTTAGTATCAAAATTGCAATAAATAACCATTCCCTCTTACCTATTTGCTGCTTCCACTAAGCCCAAGGTCAAAATCGCGATGAGAAGTATGTATGGAAGAGAAGTATGTATGGAAGTACAACATATGTTCTCCACTAACACATTTCTGTGTATGTGTGTGTATGCATGTGTGTGCATGTGTGCGCGCACGTGCCAGTGCACACGTGCCAGTACTGAGGCTTGAACGCAGGGCTTAGGCTCTATTTCTTAGCTTTTTCCTCAACGCTGGAGTTCTGCCTCTTGAGCCACAGCTCCACTTCTGGCTTTTTGGTAGTTAATTGGAGATAACAGTTGCAGAAACTTTCTTGCCTGGGCTGGCTTTGAATTGCGATCCTTAGATCTCAGCCTCCTGAATAGCTAAGATTATAGGTGTGAGCCACCAGCACCCAGCTAGGACCTAGCATTTTTAATTGGTAGTGAAAATGTATAATTTCTAGTAATGTTCTAATAGACATAACTGAATTCAAATAATGTATATAACTTTCCAATATAATTTGCTCCCATTTTACTTGTGATTTGTCGTTAAAAGCACACTTAGAAGATAGTTATTTGAAATTGAAAAAGATATTGATATGGACTATTGAAATAATTGAGAATATAGTTCCTAAGATAGCTAAGACTAATCCAGTACGCAATGTTCTTTTTTTTTTTGGCTGGTCCTGAGGCTTGAACTCAAGGCTTGGGTACTGTCCCTGAGCTACTTTTGCTCAAGGCTAGCACTCTACCACTTAAGCCATGGTGCCACTTCCTGGCTTTTTCTGTTTATGTGGTACTAAGGAATCGAACCCAGGGCTTCATGCATGTGAGGCAATCACTCTACCACAAAGCCACATTCCCAGCCCCACTATGATGTTCTTGAACTTGATCTGAATTTCCTGTCTTACTGAATGTGGAAAGGTAGTAGCTCATACTTTCTGGCTATTCCTCTCATATTATGGCTCCAGCAGGGAAAGTGAGAAGCCACTTCTTCATCTAATTGTTTTGAGAATAGGTCTCCTGAGGCTCTTGGAGCAATATGAGGAGAGGAGGTTCTGGTTGTCCAACAGCCAGTCATTAAAGTAGATTGAAGAGGTAGGATGTAAATTCCAGCTACATAGTGGTTCACACCAGTAATTCCAGGTTCTTGGGAAGGTGGAGATAGGAAGACTGACATTGAGGCCAGGCTAGGAAAAAATGTTAGGAAGACCATGTCTCAACAAACAACTGGGCATAGTGGTACATACCTATAATTTCAGCCACAAAGAGGTACAGATAAAAGGTCTTAGTCCAAGCCTGGAGCCAGTGGCTCAGGCCTGTAATCCTAGCTACTCAGGAGGCTGAGATCTGAGGATTGTGGTTCAAAGCCAGACCAGGCAGGAAAGTCTGAGAGACTCTTACCTCTAATAAACCACCAGAAAACCAGAAGTGGCGCTGTGGCTCAAGTAGTAGAGTGCTAGCCTGTAGCTGAAGAGATAAGGAACAGCACCCAAGCCCAGGGTTCAAGCCCCATGACCTTCAAAAAAAAGATCTTGGTCCAAGCCAGCCTGGGCAAAAAAGTACAAGACCCTATTTGAAAAACAACTGAAGCAAAAAGGGTAGGGGTCCAGATTGTGGAGTGCTTACCTAGCCAGCATGAGGTCAAACCCAAGTAATACAAACAAAGGTACAAAATCATCCACAGCAGTCATTATTTGTGGTCTTTTTTTTTTTGGTTGGTCATAGGGCCTGAACTCTATAGGCCTCGGCACTGTGCAGCTCAAGGCTAGCACTCTACCACTTGAGCCACAGTGCAACTTCCAGCTTTTTCTGCTTATGTGGTGCTGAGGAATCAAACCCAGGAGCTCATTCATGCAAAGAAAGCACTTTACCACTGAGCCATCTTCCCAGCCCCTATTTGTGGTCTTTGCTTATATTACTGAAGTACTGGGAGTGAATATAACTAGGAATCACTAAACTCTAATATAGTTGAAGACTAATTTTAATCCTTAATTGGGACAAATAAATACTTGAATCTGTTCTGCTTTTTTTTCTAGCTTATTAATGAGGAAAGCTTTATTTGACCACCTCACTGCGAGAGGCATTCAAGTAAGTGTCTGGAATGCTGAGTTTTAGAAACAGCATAGCTTACCAGTTAACACAAGTCAAAGTGCAGAAGCTTTTAACTGATACTGCTGCATTACTGACACAAATGAGGACCTTAAGCTCTGTCTTACTCATAGCAGTGCATCATTAGCATTCTACACTTCCTCTTACTACTGGGTCCAGTGCCATAGGCAGAAGAATAGAACAATGTGTATCTAATAAAAAATAGATTTTTTTCAAAGAGTTGGATAAAAAAAAAATAAAAAAGTTTAGTGATTTCTTAAAATGGAAACTTTGATCGTTAGTTCTAAGTATGATGAGATTATAGTGGATAAATGCTATAAAATTTATTTCTATTTAACATATCTTTTCATATTTCTCATGACCCCAATTTTCAGGTGTATGTTTGGGTATTAAATGATGAACAAGAGTACAAACGAGCTTTTGATTTGGGAGCTACTGGAGTGATGACAGACTATCCAACAAAGCTTAAAGATTTTTTAAATAACTTTTCAGCCTAGGAACAGATACTCAGAAGTATCTTGAAAAGACCTAAGAAAAATATGTCACCATCACTTCTTAAAGATACTTCCAGAATGGTAAAAGGTTTAATCAGTTAAGTTTTTATTACCTCATTTTTAAGTCTGAAGAACGTAGAAATTGTACGTTGTCTATTTATTTTAAACAGTATGGCACACTTTATAAATCAGTTAGAAAGATAACAGTTATGTTAGTAAAAGATTATTGATCAAGATGTCTCTATATGATGCAGTATTCTACTGTGATAAGTGTTTCTGAAATCAAAGACTTGGATAAATTTGGCAATCGTTCTCACTGGAATAAGATCAGCTATTTTAGTAAAATAAAATTATTGAAGGCCATTACAACTGTTTTACATTTCTTTAAAATGTCTAGGTATTTCTTAGTTAAAGGGGAAAATATGACTAAAGAAGAACTTGAAAATCAATGTTGTAGTTATACGGCAAGTTAATATGTTGTTAATAGAAGGTAAGCAAAGAAGTCACTGAGACCAGAGCTAGGGATGGTGATCCCAGCTTTCAGAAGGTTGAAGCAGGAAGATCATGAGTGTGAGGCCAGTTTGAGACTGTTGCAAAAAGAAAGAACAGAAAAATGAAAAATACCTGAAAGCTTATTACTTGATCAGAAATAAAACCTGTAGACTGAATTAGATTTCTCATTCAGTGTTGTTAATGGGGGTATTCTATGTGGAGTCTTTTTCAGTTGTGAAACAATGTGACTGTGTCTATTTTTTATGCATTAAAAATAGACCTTTTAACTGTAAATTAAGATAAAAATCTAAGTCATGTTTCTATGTTTCCACTAAAGAAATGTAAGATTTTCATTTTTTGGCCTTGACTTGACTGAGCCTACATCTAGATTTTTAAATAATGTTTCAAATCTTAATAATCACATTAAACTGCTAAAAGTGTCTGTCATTGTTTCTAGCACTTAGGGTATGAACCACCTGTTTCTGACCTTTAAGAACATATTCATCTGAATATTAAGTAGAAACAGAATTTCCCAGAACATTACACATCATTTTCTCAGCTTTTCTGGTATGACTTCATATAAATTTGTTTCCAGTCTTTTTGACTGGTTTTCATGGTCTCAGATGGAGAGATAAATATAATCTGGAATAATAAATGTCTTTTGCCTAGATTATATCTCTTATTTGGAATTTGCCAGCTGTACAGCTATGAAGGATGACCATATTTTCATCTGTTCCTGGATAGCATAGATATCATTTGTTCTGTTGTTTAAACTGAAATAAAGTTTTCCAAGAACAAAATAAGGGTCCTTGATTCTTTTTACAGTTGCAACTTGAAATATATCTTAAAGACTTTTTATAAGCCGGACACCGGTGGCTCATGCCTGTAATCCTAGCTACTCAGGAGGCTGAGATCTGAGGATTGCGGTTCAAAGCCAGCCCAGGGAGGAAAGTATGTGAGACTCTTATCTCCAATAAAACCAGTAGAAAACTGGAAGTGGCACTGTGGCTCAAGCGGTAGAGCGCTTGCCTTGAGCTGAAGAATGCAGGGATAGCACCCAAGCCCAGAGTTCAAGCCCCATGACTGACCAAAAAAAAAAAAAGAAAAGAAAAAACTTTTTTTTTTGTAGGGCGAGGAGTGTGGCTCAGTGGTAGAGTGCTTGCCTTGCATGCATGAAGCCCTGGGTTCGAGTCCTCCACATAAACAGAAAAAGCCGGAAGTGGTGCTGTGGCTCAAGCGGTAGAGCGCTAGCCTTGAGCTGAAGTGCTGAGGGACAGCATCCAGGCCCAGAGTTCAGGCCCCATGACCGGACCCCACCCCCACCCCCAAAAAAAAAGAGTCTCACAGACTTTCCTGCCCTCCCTGACTTTGAACCTTGATCCTCAGATCTCATTCTCCTGAGTAGTTAGGATTACAGATGTGAGCCACTGGTGCCTGGCTGAAGTTATTTCTTAGTATTTGAACAAAAATTTGGACATCAGAGGCTATGCCTAAACTCCTAACTACTCAAGAGGCTGAGATCTGAGGATTGCAGTTCAAAGTCAGTCTGGACAAGAAAGTCCTTGAGACTCCTATCTCTAATTAACCACCAAAAAGCCAGAAATGGAACTATGACTCAAATGGTAGAGTGCCAGCTTTGAATAAAAAAATGAAGGACAGCACCCAGGTCTTGAGTTCAAGCCCCAGTATTGGGGCTTGAAAACAAGCAAATAAAAAAATTAGTGGCTGTGTGTCAATGGCTCATGCCTATAATCGTAGCTACTCAAGAGGCTGAGATCTGAGTATTTCAGTTTGAAGACAGCCTGGGAAAATAAATCCAAGAGACTCCTCAGTAGCCAGCAAAAAGCACAAGTGTTGTTCAAGTGATAGAATACCTACCTGCCAAGGCTGGTAGAGTTCTTGCCTTGCATGCATGAGGCCCAGGGTTCAATTCCTTAGCACCACATAAGCAGAAGTGGTGCTGTAGCTCAAGTGGTAGAGTGCTAGCCTTGAGCTGAAGAGCTGAGGGGCAGCACCCAGGCCCAGAGTTCAGGCCCCACGACTGACCAAAAAAAAAAAAAGGATACCTATCTGCCTTGAGCAGAAAAAAAGCCAAGTGAGGCTGGGAATGGAATGTGGTGTAGTGGTAGAGTGCTTGCCTAGCATGCATGAAGCCCTGAGTTTGATTCCTTAGTACCACATAAACAGAAAAAGTTGAGGCTGGGAAGGTGGCTCAGTGGTAGAGTGCTTGCCTTGCATGCCTGAGGCCCTGAGTTCGATTCCTCAGCACCACATAAGCAAAAAGAAAAAAGCCAGAAGTGGCAATGTGGCTCAAGTGGTAGAGCGCTAGCCTTGAGCTGAAGAGCTGAGGGACAGTGCCCAGGCCCAGATTTCAGGCCCACGACTGGACCCAAAAAAAATAACCCAAAACAGAGAAAGTTGGAAGTGGTGCTGTGGCTCAAGTGCTAGTGTGGTAGCTTTGAACAAAAGAAGCTCAGGGACAGTGCTCAGGCCCTGAATTTAAGCCCAGGACTGGCAAAACAACAACAACAACAACAAACGAGGGCAAGACCCTGAGTTCAAACTCTGGTGCTCAACCCCTAGTGCTGGCACACACACACACACACACACATACAAAAATCATATTGTCAGCTTGGTCATGTTGGCTCATGCCTATAATCTAGCTATTCAGGAGTCTGAGTTCTGAAGATCCTGTTCAAAGTCATCCTTGGCAGGAAAAACCAAGAGACTTTATCTCCAATAAACCACCAGAAAACTGGAAGTGGTGCTGTGGCTCAAGTGGTAGGGTGCTTGCCTTGAGCTGAAGAGCTGAGGGACAGCACCCAGGCCCAGAGTTCAAGCTCCATGACCGACAAAAAAAATTCTCAATGCCAGGCACCAGTGGCTCACGCCTGTAATCCTAGCTACTCAGGATGCTGAGATCTGAGGATTGCAGTTCAAAGCCTGGGAAGGAAAGTCTTTGCAATAAATCACCAGAAAAACTGGAAGTGACACTGTGGCTCAAGTGGTAGAATGCTAACCTTGAGCTGAAGAGCTGAGGAACAGCGCCCAGGCCCAGAGTTCAAGCCCCATAACTGACAAAAAAAAAAAAAAAACTTAAGAAAAGTCATTAATTACCAGTAGTTCTCAAAATGGGACATTGAAATCAAGGAATGCTGGGAAAGGATAGCAGTGTTTGGTTTAAAAAGAGGCCTCTGTAACTGGTTAATTTGTCTCTGTGGTTGATGGAACTGATAGCAAACTGGAAAGGGAGGTAGAGAACTGAATGGTACCCAGCCAGACAACTCAGCCACTTATTCAAAAGAATTAGGACATTTAAAAAGGCAGCAGTATCAAGTGAGTTGTATCCTAAATAGGAAGGTTGATAAATGTGTGAAAACAAGAAGCCTATGAAGAGAGATTGGAGATACTGCAAAGAGAACACAAGCAAGATCTTTAAAGACTCAATGGGTTGTAATAGATATTTGGAATATCTGTCTCACCAACCCTATAAACTACACTGACCTATTCCTGCCCTGGGTACTTATGATCTAGAGACAGAGAGAGAATGAAGTATTGTTTGATTTATTTTTATGGTGTTGGGTTATATGAGAATTCAGTCGTTGAGAAACAGAGGACCCACATTTGAGAGGTCGAATTGGGAGTCTTTATTGGAGAGCCAGTAACTGCAGGTGAACTCCTGTCTAAAAACTCTGCATCCAGGCTGGGAAGGTGGCTCAGTGGTAGAATGCTTGCCTTGCATGCATGAGGCTCTGGGTTCGATTCCTCAGCACCACATAAGCAGAAAAAGCTGGAAGTGGCACTGTGGCTCAAGTGGTAGAGCACTAGCCTTGAGCTGAAGAGCTGAGGGACAGTGCCCGGGCCCAGAGTTCAGGCCCCACGACCGGCAAAAAAAAAAACAAAAAAACCTCTGCATCCCACTACAGAGCATGCACAACACTTTTAAAGACAACAACTACATGCCTGAGGTAGGGTACAAGCTTTAACAAAAGTGTAAAACATAGGCAGAGCATACTACCCAGGGGAAATCAGAACTCAATTACCAGGGGAAGCTAGACTTTCCTGGAGCTTAACCATTCACCACACATCTGCAGTCCAAAGAATGTCCTCTGTTACCTCTAGAGTTCTCGGAAAGTCCCAGCTTCTATTAAGGTGCCAAGATGACATTACTTAGATTTGTATCTGTATTTCAGGGGGTATTAGACTTAAGGACTTTGCCTGTGAAACACACATTCTACTACTGAACTACATTCCCAGTCCAAGAAGTCACACACACACACACACACACACACACACACACACACACACACACACACTCTTAAGGACTTTGCCTGTGAAACACACATTCTACTACTGAACTACATTCCCAGTCCAAGAAGCCACACACACACACACACACACACACACACACACACACACACACACACACACACACACACACACACACACACACACACACACACACACACACACACCAGAATAGAATGGGAAAATTTTTAAAAATTTGAAGTGTAAGAATGGAATGTGGGGGGAGGGAACTGGGAAGGTGGCTCAGTGGTAGAGCGCTTGCCTTGCATGCATGAGGCCCTGGGTTTGATTCCTCAGCACCACATAAGCAAAAAGAAAAAAGCCGGAAGTGGCACTGTGGCTCAAGTGGTAGAGCGCTAGCCTTGAACTGAAGAGCTGAGGGACAGCACCCAGGCCCAGAGTTCAGGCCCCACGACGGGACCCCCCCCCCCCCAAAAAAAAGAATAGAATAAGGGTGGGGGGGGAGGTGTAGTCGTGCAGATGGGAGGGCAGGGATGGTAGGGGAAAAAGAAAGGAGGAGGCAACAATACTTGATAAGAAATGTACTTACTACCTTGCTCATGTAATTGTAACCCCTCTGTATGGTATTTTCACAATAAAAAAAACTTACTAAAAAAGAAAATTGCATAATACATTAAAAACAATAACAAAAAAAAGAATGGAATAGATGTTAAATATGGCTGGAAACCCTGTAGCTGTGTTAGAGTCAAGTACTTGCCTGAACATATGGGGACTTGGGTTCCATCCTTAACACCAGAGAGAGAGAGAGAACATTCGGAGTGAACTCTTAAGTCTCCTTTGTGGACTATGGACGGGAAGATTTCTATCATTACTAGTCTTTGGGTGTTTTATTTCCTCCCTCACACCTTGTTACTGATCTTGAACTGAACAATTATTCAGCTGTTCTAATTTAGCCTGTATTTATTTCCTGCTTGTTCTTTGACCAAGAAGCTGGGAAACTAGCCAAAATGCAAAATCTAGCAACTTTTTTTTAACCTCTTTTCATTAATTCACTCAGTTATGTATTGATTAAAAAGTATTTGAATGAAAGGCTGAGAAAGTGGCTCAGTGGTAGAGTGCTTGCCTTGCATGCATGAGGCCTTTGGTTCGATTCTTCAGCACCACATAAGCAGAAAAAGCCAGAAATGGTGCTGTGGCTCAAGTGATAGAGCGCTAGCCTTGAGCTGAAGAGCTGAGGGACAGCGCCCAGGCCCAGAGGTCAGGCCTCACAACAGACCAAAAAAATATTTGAATGATTCGTTTTGCCAGTCCCTGGGCAAGGTTTTAGATGTAGAGTAGTTACAAGACACAGTTCCTAGCTTGTGCAAATGACTATGACTCAGAGTGCTCTAGTTGCTCC